TATCTCCCCTTTTCACTTTTCTCTTCCCCTTTTCCCCCAGAAACGTCGAATACTCAGCCGCGGCTACAATCATGGACAAAAGTCTTGGGACACGTTTCCATTTCTGGGGCGTTATCCAATTCACACCGGTCCAACCCCTCCCCTCACCCCACAAACAATGTTGGACGTGTGTATCCGGAATTTTTTCCGATTTTCAACTTTGTATTGGGTGGGGGGGGGGGGGGTGGAGAACTGCAAGAATGCACCGTTTTAAGAGGGAACCGAGAAATGACAGAAAAATATGAATATGGCAGTACTGTCCCAAGGACTTTTTGTCCAGGACTGTAGCTACAACGTAGCCCCTCTCGCAGGCTTCAGTCAATCAAAGAAGCGGGTGCTGTACCCCCAGCGTCCTTTCTTGCTCTCCATGATGAGTTTTCTGAGCGAACGTTCATGTGATTCACAGTCGGAAGTTCGATTCCAAAAAGAATCTAATTCATGGTAGACCTTGGGTTGAAGATGCTCCTCATGGAGTGCTTTGCAAATGTGACAAGCGAACTGGGGCATGTGTTTTCTTTGGCTGCCGAATTTCCGTCGCCATTGAAAGTATTGATTGTAAGCAGTGTCGTTTTTATCAAGATACTGGAGGTAAAGCGCTAAGGCTTTTACTGAGGGAAAGTCTTGAACACTAATAAATGATCCTGGAGGAGCTATAGGAATGTAAATATCTTTGGCAAGAACGACTGGTACAACCCTCCAGTCTAGCGTATTCCAAAACTTCTCTGTAACATAATCAGTACATGCCGCATTTTCAAACGACAAGTAAAATTTATAAGTTTTGAAAAGTTCGACGCATTCTTGAGAACCTCTGGAACATTTGTTGTTTTGCCCGTATACACTACCACATTTACCATAAACATCAACTTGGATGTGTTTAAGCAACTCCTTTACATATATTCCCCTAGTTTGCGGTCCGCAATTAGATACAGCCCATGCAACGAGTTTGTCTTTACCTTCCGCGTAATTTGTGTCGTTCGATGTGCTAGCCGCAGGCAATTGAAGTGGAAAGAAATGTCCGTATGGTAATGGGAAGTCTGATGTCCGTTTAAATGTCAGAGTCCAGTTAAAAAATCCTTTAGGTATGAAAGAAATATCCGCTATGTCTGGGTGGAGCAAACTTTCTTGTGTAAGAATTGCTATGCGTTGGTAAGAGCATCTGTATTTGTGAATCTGCTGAATTTCTTCCCATCTTGGCGTATCTCCCTTATACCCAAGATGAAATATCACGGCGTCACTTTGTCCAATATCGTCAACATCATAGGTTATTCTGCACTTCATCGATGGACAACCCGCGAGAAAGCTTTCATTGGAGTCCATTCCCCACCAGGGTTTTCTACCAAACCACGTATTATAGAACAATATCAGTTTTGTACTGTTATTTTCATGTGAAACGTTTGCTGTTTTTCGCGATCGTTCAACATTAGTAGGTCTAGGCTTACACTGCCATGGACTTAATAACCTCGCTGGATATAGTACTCTTTCGTATATTACTTTCATCGACATCAAAACAGAGGCAAGAACAGTAATTAAAATCATATGTCGCCGCTTGGCAGCGAGTGGACATCTAAAAAATAAAGTTTTCATTCGAAACTTGCCTGAAAAAGAATTAAATGTTCCGATGAAATTGTTGTCTCCCAGCATTGACTCCCGGCATTAGCGACTGTAACCTGCTCCAGCTGAAGTGTTTTTCATGGTTTAGCGGGCTGAAATGTCGTTTCAGTGTCCCTGAAACAGTCCTATCTCAGAGCGGTCGACGTTTAGAAAAACATACCATAATATTTTTGCTCGTGTAGTTTGTCACGTAATGGTCGGTCACCAGTGGCACCAGCTCTAGCATGTCACAAAGCATCTGAGACCATTAGGAGGGTCTCAATGGGGTTAAACGATAGGCGTGAAAGGGCCAAAAATTTAGTCGATAGCCGTAAAAACTGAAAAATTTTAACCGTTAGCCGTAAATAGAGTAAAAAAGAGTTAACCGTAAAAGAAAATGTTCCCTATATTTGTTAATTTTAAGGAGGGTACTAAACTCACTTATGGTTGCGCTTTTTATTTCCCGGCTAGTGTGACTCCTTACGCACATTCGGTAAAGAGCCTTCTAGGTGATGACCAAGACCTCTCCATTTCCGCCGCTTTATCGGGGAACCAATTTTTTTCCATAGCGAAATTGTGGCTTCTTGCTGGGGATTAATATTTGCGATTTTCAGGAGGTCGTGCCCTCGAGATACTAGTGAAACAACACGCAGAGATGTCACCGTTTGTAAAACACGTTGCCGATAAAGAACATTTCCCTGTTTTTCTCTGGCGCTACGGTAGACATTGCCATGCCTAGTCCCTGTACGGCGTCTTCCCACGCAATCTCGGTCAAGGCATTTCGGTGGCGAACTCGCTCGGACCACGTGACCCGAAACGCATTAGCCGCGCGAAATAATGAGGCCTAGGGACAAGGCAACGGCAGACAGTCGTTCCGTACAGTCCTTCGCTATCATTAAAAACACTGGACACGGAAATTTTGTCATTGGCTGTTTTCACACCAGAGCTCGAAATGGATTATCCTTCTGAGACTAGCCTGTGTACAGTAGCCCCCTTCCAGACAGACACCCCTTCTCCGATTTTTTCTGAGGGGAGGGGGAGGCTGTACACAGGCTATCTGAAACGGATGATCCCGCCTTCAAACTGTCCGTCGAAATTGACGGATAAAGTCAGGCGGATTGTTCATTCAAAATTAAAACTATTCCATTTTCAAAGCAAGACGGATTACCTATCTGACGCGAATCATCAAACGGATAACCCGTCTCACATGCACGAATAATCCGTCTCTAGCGTGAAAAAGGCCATTTCTGTTGTAATGAACCTTGAGTTAGGCGTTCGCGTGTGTGCTTTGCTTTTTCACAAAGACTATTTTTTAATTGTCTATGGACATTTCTATCTGTAAAATAATATTAGAGGTGGGATACTTTAAAAAAAGTATGATCTATCAAATGTTAAAATGTTTTCATCCCGAGATGATCCTAAGACCTTTATTTTGCTTTAAAGATACAAAAAATATAGGTTAATTAATATTTAACTTTTTCAAACAAAAGAAGTTAATTTTTAACTTTTTTATTAACCGTAACTGAAAAAAATTAACCGATAGCCGTCAAAGAGCCTTTAGCCGATAACCGTAAAAGCCACTACCCCATTAAGACTCTCCTTTAGCAATTTGCAGTTATTGACATATCACGCAATGTCAGTGCTCAGGAATAAAATATATTGCTGTACTCGAAAATCAGGGGCACCCAAAGCTTCAGATCTCTAGAAATGCATTCAAAGCGGAGCTATAAAATTTGTGTCTGCTCTGTCATCCGAGGGGAGCTTGAGGATTTTCGAAATTACAAAGGCTTCACTGTTCTTTTCCCGAAAAGTTTAGATGAAATTGCTCGTTTTAAGAAAGTGAGATTTTTTCTAATTCCTCACGTGCACTCCATCATATTCATATCTTTGAATCCGAAAATTTTAGGTTTCCTTTTTAATTTGCTACGAAAATTAGCCTATAACATTGGGAATGAAATGTGAAAACTTCAGAGCTTCAGAAAATCGTATATAGGAATTTTTTTAAAAAATCGAAAATTGTACCGGAATGGAACGCTCACCTAAACATTTTTAGCCATATTCAAGCAACAGAAAATTCGAGGCAATATTTGTTTCTCCGTACAGATACCGTAAAATTCCGAAAATAAGCCCCTCCAAATATAAGCCCTCCGAACCGGTAACGTAAAAACCCTCCGTGAAATCGCCCCTCCAAATATAAGCCCCCCGGGGGCTTGTACTTGGAAAATTACCCTCAAAGACAAAGTAAAAGAAAGCAAAAACGGTGAATTTACTTCCAACTATAAGGCTAGCCCAATCGATTTTGAAACGCAGATTTCCTTCCGTAGATAAGGCCCTCCGAATATAAGCCCCTCCAAAAATAAGCCCCCCAAAAAGGGTCCTTGAAAAATATAAGCCCCGGAGCTTATTTTCGGAATTTTACGGTATACTGGAATATGTGACGCAGCGTTTATTATTATTATTACATAAACATAGGAAACTGTTTATTAATACTGTTATATGAAACCAGAAGCATATAACCCCGAAGCGTATAACTTTGTCGCAATGCTCGGGTTTTTTTGGGAACCAATCAAAATTTTCTTCCTAACATGGAATTACTGATAAGGGGGATTGTCGTGCGAGTGCTCTATAGGAAAACTTGTATCGCGATGTAAATGATGCGGTGGAAAAAGCATTTACTGTTTTACGAGGTAATATTTGACAAAAAAAGGAATACACGATTAATCCCCAAATGACCAAGACTGAGTTAGTTCCTCCTAACAAGACAAAGTCGACTACCAATGACATGCACCGTATTAAAAGAGGAGCGATTTCTTAAAGTTGTTACTTCAAAAACGATTTTTGCCTGACCATTAGCGCAAATAACCTTTTAAAAAATCAGTTACTATCTCCCTAGAATATTTAAACTACTAACATATTTTTTTAAAAAAAATTTCACTAGTCGCTGAACTGGAAAGTGTAAATTGTATAAAATTCCCAGACATCTTCACAGAAGTGGTGCGAGTAATAAGACACTGAATAAGAAGGATGAAACGCAAGTTATTAGTATTTACAACTAATGTTATGAATGAACAAATAGAAAACAATAAACAGATAAATTGTTTCTTGAAAATTTTTATTCGAAAACCCATAAGTTTACCGTTAAAAGCAATTCACGTAACACTGACATCGTCAGGATCCGTTTCCACAAGTAAAATCGGCTGAGCACATGGCAAAAATTAACAGTAAAATTATCTGTCTCAGATCGGGCGCATTCCCCAATTTTTTCTTGAAAAATCTATCGAAAATATATAAAACGTCTATGAAACATTTATAAATACATAAATTTCCTTTCATCATCGTACTCCTACCCCCCCCCGCCCCCTCGCTCGCGCGTTCTCGCGAGGCTCGCTTTGCTTGCCCAAATAGGAGAGCTTGCTCGCAGGCTAACCTTGCTATACCATTTTGTTTGTAGTCACCATGCTGGTTTTGCTGAATGAGAACAGACGTTGCAGATAACTGGTTTGCCGAGGTAGATAGGTTTGCAGCTAGTAGCCTGCGGATGATCTTTGTCAGTCAAAGAGGCTGCAAACGCATTTTGCTGAGTTCGGCGAGAGGCTTTGCGAAATCGTGAAGAAATGTAAAAGCTTGTAAACATCCTTGTCTTATTTCGTCGCTGGTCGATGTTTTCAAGCCATACCGCTTATAACTTCGTGGCTCTTTATGTTTTCCCAGGGTTGCATTTTATAGAAGCATACATGTAATTAATCTTTTATGACACGGAACGATTTCTTTCGGTGATAGACACGCATGTTTAAAGCTCAAAGCTTCAATGCTCTGATTCCATATTTGGGCAAAACAATTTTGCGTACTTCTGATTGGACGGCTGCGTCGGCTAAAAAACCCCAGCATGTTTCTAAACAGATAAGGGGAATTTAGACGCTTCGGGGTTATATGCTTCTGATGAAACAAATTTACCTATTTAAAACTGTAGCCTGATATTACAGAAAGAAAATAGAATTTCCGGTTTGCAAAAAGGAAAATTTCGCCGACCTTCAAGCGCACCGCAACCGAGGAAGGAGCGCTTGTGCCAGTCCTATTCCGCATCAAACAGATACGGCGACTACGGACTACGAACTACGGCTGAAACAGCGTTGTCCTTTGTTTGTAGCACTGGGTTGAGTCGTGCAAATATAGAACGTTACGATTGCACTACAGACAGTAGACACGAGAAAAGGGGCGGAGAGGGAAACAACACGCAAAGATTTTCTTGTTTTCATGTTCAGTTCACAGAAATGCAAGTATTTTACAAGTGATCTTATCTTTGGAATAATGAGCAAATTCTCCCATAACTGGGGAAGCAATCACGTCGGGTGGAATTGGTGAACAAAGTTTTGGTTACACAGTTTTTCTGATTTTTTCGCCTACGAATACTTATGTCAAATGTTAAAGAAATAAACAGAAATAATAATAGTTCATTGATTAGATTTAGAAGATGGACTTCTCCGATTACTGATTAGTTTGAAGTATCGATATGCCGAGTTTCGATTATCTCACGGATGTTTATATCATTTTCATTCAGCAAAAGCGATATAAAAACTCGCATAAACAAAGGTTACACAAGTAGAAAGACACACTAATCAATTCCAACAAACGTTGAAACTTTCAAGTGCGAAGAGAGAGTAAATTACCTGCATGATTTCTGTTCTCGGCCGTCAATCTGAATTCTGCGTATAAACGGCTAAGCTTATTTAAATATAAGGCTGCGTGCAAACGGACGCAACATTGTTGGATGTTACATGTCGCGTCCGTTTGTACACCCTGTTGCATGTTGTTTGATGTTGTTGCGCAAAGTTTGAAACCAGTCAAACTATTCAGCCAACAACTCCCAACATTTCTTTTGTTCCGTGATCACCGAAGCGTAGCGCAACAATGTTGGATTCGTTTGCAAAGCTCTTCCAACATTGTTGGGACCGCGCACGCTCATTACGCATGGTTTATAAAGACTTATGGGTTATATCCTTCCCACGATGCACTGCAGGCCCCGACATTGTTGGGAGTTGTTGCATCCGTTTACTCACCACTGCCAACATGCACGCAACAACTCCCAACATTGTTGGCGCAACAATATTGGGAGTTGTTGCGTCTGTTTACACGCAGCCTGAGCTTAGTTTTAGATAAAAATGTAGTCACAACTTTAAGTGGTTTGAGTATTTTAAAAGCGTAGATCTGAGCAGAAATTAGACACAACTTACATATTTCGCTTTCCTCTCAATTAAAGCGGGTGAATTGAAAACTTTTTTACGAAAAGACAAGATTCTAGAATTACCGAGACAGCAAAATGCGAACAGAATGTTCTCCGTAGTCGCGACTACGTGAAACAGCTCAACAACTCACCGGAGCGGCAGGACTACGTAGGAACAATGAACAGTCACGTGGTTCTGATCATGCGCAGTAGTAAGTTTAACCGAAGTCGTAGTCCGTAGTCATCCTATCTTTAAGTCCCTATTACTTGAAAAGCGGAGCGCTTGTTTCATCGCCCAACTTTTATCCGCCCTGGGCAAAGGAAGTCTCGGCTCGCATTTTGAGTGCGTTTGAGACAGGGCCGATACCCTGTCGAATTGTACCATGGGACTATTGCGTCTCGAGCTTCTTTTATCGGCCATTACGAAGTTTCATAGGAAACTGGGTTCAAATTCGTGCCACGAAAAAGTCCCACAGTGCAATTTCGACACCACACTGACACAGACTCACGCGCCAAAATGAGCAATAGTAGAAATCCTCGTCACTTCGTCAGAAGTCAGAAAGCACCGGAGCACCTTCGTCGAAAAGCATCGGAGCACCTTCGTCGGAAAGCATCGGAGCACCTTCATCGGAAAGCACCGAAGCCTCCGCAATGTTCAGACCGAATGTTTACTGATAAAATGGATTTGATGCTTTGAGATCCTCCCAAAGAGACTGCACCAGATCAGAAGTTGTCAACTTTTTCTCCAACATGTCCTCAACTAGCAGCCTTGGTTCTCGTCCACCTCCATAGGCCAGCATCGTGTGACGGTACCTATCGCCCATCTCACGAGAGAAGGGATTCTTAGCGAAGCACTGATGCCAGATGCGGGACGCTACAGCTCTGGACCATAAATAAGAGTAGTATTTAGCACCATAACCGTTGAGGTGGCTAAATCTCTGTTGCCAGGCTGTGCCTGTATTAAAATAAGAAACATGTGGCGTTATTGATCAAACTTACTTGAGAAAACAACCGACATTTTGCGGCGCCACTACTGGTTCGTGGTTTCCCCACGAAATGACGTATAACGTATTCCAAACTGATGAAGTGTCTCCCCAAAAAATCTGTCGGCCGTCCGTCGGTAGACTGTCGGCAAACAGACGACCAACTGTCGGCCGACAAACGACCAACAGGCGACTGAAAGTTTTCTCAATATAAACGGAAAAAGTGTCGGCCGACTGTTGACCAACAGTACCAACAGTCGGTTAACGGTTACTTGCGAATAAGGACGAGTAATTGCTAATATTAACCAAATGAACCCGACAGTCGTGAAACAGCCCCTTTTGAGGGTCTCAATGGGGTGGTAGCTTTGACGGTTGACGGGTAATTTTTTCTAAGCTTGACGGTTGACGGTTAAATTTTAGAGCTTTTGACGGTTGAAAATTATTAAGTAGAAAGTAAGTCCAAGAGTAAAATAAGGTTAAAGTAAATCAGTTACTGACTTCAAAATTAGCTTTTGTGTCTTGGAGGTTGTCTTGGCCTTTCGCTTTTAAATTTCGAAATATTTTAGACACAAGCAAGTTATAAGGTCTTGTTATGTCCAGAGGGTGTGTTTTTTAGAACATGGCAACTGAGTTTTCCAGTTTAGAGATTCTTCAGGAGCCCAAAGTCCGTGTGAAGATCAGCTGAAATAGTGAAATTTGAGATACCTTAAAACTTTTCGATGGTCAATATTAATCTACGTTTTGACGGGTTGACGGTAAAAAATAACCTTTTTGGACGGCTAGAGGTTAAATTTTAGGCCGTTTGACGGCTGACGGTTCACTCCATTGAGACTCTCTTAAAGGGGTAAAAACATGGGAGCAATTTAGGTTTCTAGGAAACTGCCCACCTACCCCTCCCCTAACCCAACATTTTGCTCCAAGTGAGAAGTAAGTGTATTTTTGACTTAAAGGGAGGGGTAGGTGGGGAGTTCCCCAGAAGTTTACCTAAATTGATCCAAAACATACCTGGTGCGTGTGGGATCACTGTATATTCTTCCTGTACTTGAGCAAGGATGTCTGTCGTTGAACCAGTTAGTGGATGTGTTCCATGATATACCTGATCAATCATCGCATAGAGAACTTGTCGTTGCATCTCCAGCGCACCAAACATGGACCTCCCCTGACAAAGACGAACAGCTACTTCATCGGGCAGGCTCTGCCCTGTTTTGTAATGCTTTGCAAACGCAGTTAGCACCCTAGGATCCCATGCAAAGAACTCCATAAGCACTGATGGGACCTCAGCAAAGTCTGTTGAACATCTGGTGCCTGTGACATGTTGGTACTGAGTTCGAGCAAGCATAGAATGCATTGCATGCCCCATCTCGTGAAACAGGTTTTCCACCATGTTGTGGGTGAGGAGGGAAGGGGATGAGGGACCAGGTAATGGAAAATTGCAGACCAGGACAACAACTGGCAGCTGGTAGGATCCATCTTCAAGTAAACGACCCCCTTAAAAAAAGATTAATAGCAAATTCTAGGCTTTAAATTGTGGCTTCAACCTGTGCAATTATTTCCAATCGGGTCTAGTTACATATTATTGCTTAAATTGTGATAACCACTGAAATGATCATAATTTTATCTTCATTTAAAATTTGTCTTTCCGCAGTTAACACCATCTTCATGTTTCATTCCTCTCATGGGTTAAGATGAACTCAACAAATTGGGCTGCTCCCAATGTATAGGTCTTCATAGCTGAAAAGATCACTGCAGTGCTAATGCAGAGGCCATGGGTTCAAATCCCATCGAAGTACCCAATTTTTTTTTGTTTTGGCTTTATTTGCAATTGCTTAAAGTGCAACTACCACTGTGACAATCATACCTTCATTTAAAAATTCATTTTAAAAAACTAAGAAAGGACCATAACCAGGGGGATATTCCCATAAAATTAATAAAATCTGAGCTAGATGGATATGTGCCGCCTGGTAGGATAATTATAGTTTTTAAAGGCCTCAATCCTTAAAAAAGCCCTAAGAATGACTACATAGGAGGCTATAATCCAAGTTCCACCAACAAGGAGTCAGGAATCCAGTGCTTGGAATCCAGAATCCAAAAATGGGGCGACTTATAGAGAGTACATTTTGCAGAGAATTACAATGGTAGTCTTTACACTAGAGCCTAAATAAGCTAAGAAATATTTCAGGACAAGTAAATTTTAAATTCTTGAAGTAAAAGAAAGCTTCACACACAACCTATCTTTTTTACTTCAGGTTTACTTAAGCCTATTTTCCCATGCAACATAATTAAGATTGATTGACATGCTTTGCCTTTTTCAAAGCTTAGAAACCTCAAGTTTGTAAGTTGATTTTAAGGATGGTTTTCAAGTCACTTGAAACTTTCTTGAATCGTTTAAACTTTCTGACTTTAATGAGATGCAAAGTAAAGTTACTTGAGATTTTAATTAGGCCATCACACATGCATTATTGGTTAAGTAAAACTTAGCAGCTCTTAAGTCTTACTTAACAGCCTAGTGTAAAGACAACCAATAACATTTCTACTGCCCTGTAACAACTACATATTAACCTTAATGCCCTTATAGCCCCCACTATTCACCTCTGATTGTAAAATGTGAATCCTGCTGTAGCTTCTCTTCTCTATTAAAGAAGTCACAATAAATGTAACCAAGCAAACCCTCTGTTTCATGAACCACACCCAGTTTTTGGACATAAGGGGACCATAGCTCTCCCTCAGCTGGGTCTTGGGTTTCTAAGGAGATCCCAAACAGACTCTTAAACAGAAGGTTTAGGCCCTCCATACAGGCGCCCAGTGGAAAATATGCTGATATAGATGAGCTATTGAGTTTTGCAGACTGATACTTTGCCATACTAGAATAATAGTGAAGATCCCAGGGCATAATTGGCTCCGTATTAGAAGCTTTTGATGTGTGTTTTTTCAGTCCAGTTAAAATGTCCAATTCCTTCTTTGCTGGTTTACGAAGCATGTTAGCGGTAAGTTTTAGAAAATCCATAACATTTTCTGGTGTTTTTGCCATTGTTCCTGTAAGGGCACGATGGGTAAAACTTGGGAAGTTTACCAGTCGAGCAAGTTGATGCCGCGCACTCAGAAGCATGTCAAGAGTGTTGAGCTGGGTCTTTACAGGCTTCAAACAGGAGAGATAAACCAGCTCACGCAACTTTTCATTGTTTGAATCCAAATACGCAGATTCAATGATTACATGGCCATCACTGACTGGATAAATACCACTCAGTTTATCTGCCATTGGAAGATCAGCCAGTGGTACTTGAACAGGCATTGATGCAATTTGAGAAAATTGTGCACCAATTACTAAGATTGCTTCCTGGAGTTCAACAAAAAGCCTACGTTTCTCCTCATCCAAGTGAATCCCACTTTGTTCAAAGTCAAACAAAAACAACTCTGCAACCCTCTTGGTTTCTTCATCCATCTGTCGCTTGTCTTCATTAGAAAGCATTTTCCCCAGGGCTTGATACAAGCCTGGGTGTGTGTTGAGCTCCTCTACATAGCTACTGATTCCCCTGGAAGTATCCTCGGCAGCGCTTCGGAAGCGATGATCAGGATGTGTCAATCTTACAAACTCAGCCAAATCGGCAGCTGCACACAAAGTGTCTGACAGCTTATCAAACAGCCCCACTAACCGAGGGGTGCGGGGAGATTGGAGGACATTATCGACAATTTTGCCTCCTTCAAATAAAGCCTTATTTTTCAGCTCAGTAAATCCCGATGTGTCACTTAGCTCTGGCTTCCCAAAGAGACCAGTGGGTCTTAAATAGCGATCTTCTCTTGGATGTGGTGAATTGAAAGCTGTGGCCAATGGACTCCATGTCGCAACACAGCGATTGGCATCCGCTCTCGTACGAGGAACACTTCTCCCCCAAAGCGCAAGTGGAAGGCGACGGTTTCGCAGGGCAATTCGGCCGTAAAAAAGGGTCCCCATGATATTAAAGCTTTGTGGCTGGTTTTCACACAGGGAACATTTTCTGATCACGTTCTCACCACGCCATCTTGACTTTGAGAGACCTCTGTGGAAAAGAACGCCATATAAAAATACACAAACGTTCCTGTACCAAAAACAAGTGTTTCACCGGGTCCCTGTGAGGTCAGGCAGTTGTAATTTTGTCCCCACCCCCTGCAAAAAAAAAATAATAATGATAATCAAAGAAAGACAGAAATGAAAAAAATAATAATAATAATAATAAAGAATAAAAAAAGAAGCTAGAAAAATCTTATCTCAATTTTTTTCCCATTATAATTAACAAAGAAAAAAACTTTGTAGACGCAAACTTTTCCGGTACCCCTCCCACGGCAACGAATTTTTTTTACCTTAAATTTTACATGACTCATGATACAAAGTATTTCCCCACTGCATGACCAAGCGTCTCGAGACCATCACCATGTTTCTCTTTGTAGCAATTATCGCGATCATTTTGTTCATTATTTTTGTTTTAGATTGTGATTTTATTCTTAAATTCAAGGAGAAGTTCGGTGCAAAGCCGGAGGAAAAACTTCGCGGCAAAGTGGTTTGGATAACTGGAGCTTCAAGTGGAATTGGAGAACACTTAGCCTATGAACTTGCAAAATGTGGCTGTAAATTAGTGCTGTCTGCAAGAAGAAAAGAAGAATTAGAAAGAGTGAAAGGAGGATGTGTTGGTGAGCTACTAACTCCTTCTTCCTTCTTTTTGAGGTTGAATATCATAAATCGCAATACGCGCGCGGACCAGCTCGATGTAACAGAAAATCCTTCAATAAGAACGACCGAGACCAATTGCAAGTTTTATGAGCCCGCGAGACTGAGACCCCCAACTCCACCCCCCCCCCCCCCCCCCCCCCCAACCCTTGTTTTCACTAAAACTGCTCGGCACCACAACCTGGTTGAGGTCGTTGTTGTCAAGGGTCTTGCATTGTAACACGTAATTGCATGAGGTGTGGGATAGGGGGCATTGCCATCATTGCCATCGAGTACCAGTTCAGTTTCCTCCCATTTTATTTTCGTGTTTGTGCTTTCCCAATTCAGCTGACCCGATTATTTCGGAACCTAGAACAGGCTATGTCACATAAGGCCGTAGCTCCAATTTTTATGTTGGGCATGAAAAATTGGGTTTAAATAGACGTGGATTAACATTACATTGAATTGATTATCAATCTGAAAGCATTAGACTCATGCCTATAGGTATGAGAGTTTGCAGGTTTGAATAGTAAAATACATATCCAATTCAAGACCCTCTTTCCAGAGAGCACAAAACCTTTTCCTAGTTCAGACCCAAGTGGCTAAAATTTACACCCAGTTACAGACCATAAGGCTCAAAATCCATAACCCTTAGCACTCCACTCACTTACAGTATATAGCTTATAGAGAAGTACCCCCCAGTCTGATGAGCTTGTCACTGCAAGAACTGTTAATGAAAGGCCTGGACTTCACTATATGTATGATAAGAATTTAATTGAGTGGTGTTAGAATCAGACATACCTGGCCACTTATCCTCAGTGCTTTTATCTAAATGTCTTGAAAAAGAGGAATATATAATGAAAACAAAAGGGGTCAGGGGTGGGATTGCAAAAGAGATTAAGTGTAAAGATTTTGGGTTGGCTTCTTGGCTTCTTTGATAACATTGCTGTCATTATCTACTTGCATCTCCTTTTTTTCATTAGCCCTTGCCAGAGACCGATCACTTGTTACGGATGTGTTGGTTCTTCCCTTGGATATCACAGAGTATAACAAACACAAGGATCATGCTCAGACTGTTATGAATCATTTTAACAGGGTTGGTATATAAACAATATACATGTACTTTGTATGCAAGGATGAAATGTGTTGAAAGGGCTGGCAGATTCAGGGAAAAGTCTGGGAATAAACATTTCATTTTTCTAAATAACTGAGCTAGCAGTTTAGTAAGGTCCCATTCATGTTAATAGGAAGGAATAATTAGAAAATGCTACATAATCACTCTCTAACAAAAAAAACCCACATCACTCTGGACAAATTCAGTATGTATCTTATGTTTCTCAAGTTTTGCCAAATTTAAAAATTAGATTAAAAATGTTTTTGAACAGTTTAAAAAGGGTGGCTTAAAATAACAGTGATTTTGTCACATTGAACTTTGAATGGTGAAAATTGTAACCTCACAGCTGTACTAACTTTAATATATCATTTTTGCTTAGCTTTTAAAAATTTCTCTTGTTTAACTACCACTGTCTCTGAAGGTGCCCTGGGTGAGACATTTCTTCATTATTCCAGCACTGTGATAGCCTGCACCAAAGACAAAACTAAACTTTTGGTTAAGTCCCTGTTCTAGGCCTCCCCTGTGTACCAGTATTTGAGTACGGGCCATTGTTGATTTGCCCATCAGGTTAAATGGACATTTGAAACTCATTTCTGGTAATGATCGCTGAATCCATTGGGGGCCCAGAACATGGATCTCGGTGCTGCTTTGCAGATGTTATTGACTGAGGTTATTACATCTATAGTGCAGGCTAGTACAGCGAGCGCTATAATCAAACTCTGCAATAATTGATTAATTCATTAACTTCACAAGTTTGTACTCAATAATACCACATTTTTTTATTCTGCCTTTTTGTTTAGGTTGATATTTTGGTAAATAATAGTGGTAGATCACAGCGAGGCTTAGTTCTTGACACCCCAAGTGTTGATGTTGACCAAGCCATGTTGGATATTAACGTCATTGGGCCAGTATCTTTGACCAAGGCAGTTTTACCCCACATGATCAAACAGAAATCAGGACAGATTATTGTTACAAGTAGTGTCGCTGGCAAAATTGGTGAGTAGTAATAATAGTAATAATAATGATAATAATAATAATAGTAATAATAATGATAATAATAATGGTAATAATAATTTTTTCTCCCAGCTACAAAAACAAAATTTTTTGTACGTATTGAAGTACAAATGAACTGATGCAATTCTCAGAGAGATATAGTTAGCTCTGGTTAGCTGTGAAGGTGAAAAAATCAACAATGTCAGGTGAGCGTGCAAAGAAAGTAGTATCCGATAGCCCGAGGCTGGTGGACTTTGCTATTGGGCTGGTGAATTCTGTTCTTAAACTTGCCCAATGGGCAAATGAATTTTTTTGACGAATTCAAAGTACAGAAGATTTGTGAAATCAAGTCTGCCCATAAAAAAGTTACTGGGCTAGTTGAAATAACTTTTGGGCTAGTATAGGCTAGCTTCAGCTGGCCAGAATGGCAAGCTGTAAAAATGACTTTCTTTGCATCCTGGATGTGTTGAATAATGGCTTCATTGTATATATGTTAAGTATGTGAATTTCTTTATTGTAGGATCTCCTGGTCAAGCCACTTACAGTGCAACTAAATTTGCAATTCAGGTTTGTTGCCTCAAGACCTTCCCTCATAATTATTTGGTCATTTAGTTGTGCACATTTAGGAGCATGAAAGCATTTTATATCACTAAGTTTGATAGCTATACTGAATTAATGCGTGATAACATTCTTTTACTCACATCAACTACCAGTTGTTTGCAAATGATTATACTACTTTCAATACTGAGCCGCTTTGTAGGGTGGCGGAGTGAAGTTGAGTGCATAACATTAATTTACACTGGTCCCTAATGGGACACTGGTCCACTGATCCCTTGGGATGCAGATAACTTAGGCCCAGTTCAACCATTGATCTTTTCATGTACTGAGATAGATAGATAAATCGTTTATTAAAAAAAGAAACACCTCGCAGTCCGAAGACTGAATTACGTGTATAATATACAAGTATAGTTAAAATGGATTTAAAAAACCATAATAATAAAAATGTACAAATCTAATAAAAACATTTCACTTAGGATAACCTTGTGTTAGGAAAATATACATACTTAAACAAATTTATTTACATTCTTAGGCTATGGCTAAAAATAAAACATTTTTTAAGACGATCAGTCTTGCACCATCAGTCTTGCACACTGGCACGTTAAACTTTTTATTGGTGCACAGCTGCCTATGGTGCTCAGCTTTAGGTGGGAGCAGACCTGCGAGCTTGTGATTAATGTCAAGAACAATGTCGTTAAAAAGATCAGACGACAGAGACGCTCGCCTGTCATAAAGAGAGGGGATGCCTGCCTCTTTGGGCGCGCTGAACTTAATATCTATTTAGGTCCAACCAAATGATATACACTGTAAGTTCGACGGTTGATTCAGACGTCAAACTTAATTAGTTGGACTCCATTCATTTTCATGATGTTTGATGGTCTAAAATGCTTACAAATGAAAATATATTTTAATTTCGTAATAAATGAAATTATATTTTATGCATTACATGTATGCTCGGCACATGAGAAGTTTGACGTTTTAAGCGAAGTCGCCCCACAGTCAAAATTCCCATGTGGGCCACTCGATCTTAATTCATGGGTCGACCCAAATTAGATATTTTGAACTTAATTGATTCAAACGTCGATCTTTTCAGACATGTACTTAATTGAAGAGATTAGGTTTGGTTCATGAGAAAGATCAGCGTTTGAACAGGGCCTTAGTTATTTCCCAGGTGGAGCCGAGAGAAATATTGAAATTCAAGGGAAACAATTTTAAAATTAACTCCCATGCGACCAGTCATTAAAATAATAATTTGTTATTAGAGCCCTTGAAGGAGAACTTCTATTTTGACGAATATGTATCAAATCACAGCAAATGGTCTGACAACATTCCCGGGTAACAGGACTCCCCTCCCTCTGGCGTCATAGATTTTTCCATGTTGCCTGCTTAGGAACATTTGGCAGGAAACTAAATTACAATTATTTATAGAGATGGCATATAGCGTCAAAGTAGCCAGTGAGAATGTAACAATAGCAGCCTTCATTTAATTGGTTACCACATTATAATATTTTCTGTGATCTAAGGCTGTGTATTACTTGCCTGTAAACAAGGAAAGACATCAGCCATGGCTCTGTAATCTGATAAATATATAATATATTTTTTATGTTATCAGCATTCAAAGAAAGTCATTTCCGATAGCCTCAGCTACAAAGGGCAATCTGTAAAACTGACTTTCCTTGGGATGTAGTAAGATGCTGAAACTGCTGTTTTGATTTTTATTATTTTATTTCATTATCTTTGCAATAACAAGAAATATTATAATAATTATGTGAGTCATGGAGTGAGTCAGTGGTAATTTCTGTAAGAATAACAAGGCTGTTGCAAAAGCACTCTTCTTCTTCTCTGATACTTAGCCTAGTTTATATTATTTTATTATCATCATTGCATTGAATAGCTTTCTTGTTCTGACTTTCCAGGGTTATTTTAACACACTGCGCATGGAGGTTAATGAGCACGATATTGGAGTGACTTTAGTCTGCCCAGGACCGGTACAAACAGATGTCGTGGCAAATGCTTTCACTGAAGATGTAAACAAGGTACATGACACATGCTCAGTGCGTTCAACTCTTAATAAACATCTCTGGAAGACAAACTCCTTGGACATAAGAGTTTGGGTGCAAATGTACTCATTGCAGTTTTTAACTGTATGTTAAAGGGGCTATGTCACAAGAATATTTCTGTTTTAAATCAATTCTGTGCTGATTCCTGAAGTGCTGAAGGTTATTATTATTATTAATGCTCCTGTAGAGTTATGAAGAAGTTTATCAAACAAATTTCATCAGTGAGCGCTAACCATAATACTTTTTTTGGTGATTTTTTCAGGCATAGCATAACTAAAACTTGAAAAAGTTGGAAATTAAGCTTCAGTCTATGTCCATCCTCGTCAACCCTTGAAACAGACGACAGGAAACAGTTTCAGTGCCTAAATTAATGTAGTCTTAAATAACAAAACTGGAAAATTATTAATTTTTTGGATATTCAGTTGACATGGAGACAAGTTTTAGTTTTTTAAGAAGATAGGAAATGGCGTGACATAACCTCTTTAATGCTTTATTCTATTTATTTATTTTCTTTATCATTGCTTGGTGTTTTCTTTTTTTGTACAATGCTGTGGGCTGTCCAAACTACCAGTATAATGATTTATAACGGTACATTTTTAAGTTTTATTTTTCCCTTTTGTTGTCTTTTTTGGCAGCAATTCAAGGAGAAGGCTGTTGTTCAACACGACAGTAAGAGAATGCCTCCAGAGAGGTGTACCCGTCTCATGGCTGTAGCAATGGCTAACAGGCTTGATGAAGTGTGGATTTCTCTCAACCCGATCTTGCTGTTTGTTTACATCAGCCAATACTGTCCTGTTCTTTATGACTGGTAGGTGAAAAAAATTAATGTGTGAATTCACCCCCTTAACACTCACATACACACCACCACCACCACCACCACCACAATCAAGAAACTGGTTGAGCCTGATCAATGCAAATGAAATCTGTTTTTATTAGGTTTGCCAAGCGTGTTGGTATGAAGCAAGTCAGAAGAATGAGAGAAGAAACAGAATCAAGGTACTTAAATACCATAAACATGACTCCTTTGGCCAATTAAAAAAATCAGAACTTTCAAAAGTTGCTCCCCCCGGCTCTAATTTTTGTAACCTGAAATGGAGATACTCTGCAGAAATTTAGCGTACATAAAATTGAAAACCTTGTCTGTCATTTTTTTGTGATGGATGGCACTAGGACTGATAATGTGACAAAATTGCTTTATTGGTCATGTGCAGTATTAATCTAAACCGCAAAGTAGGATTTGAAAGAGTAATGGTTTAAGAGAAAAACTAAACTGAATGTTAAGTCTATTGCCAGTTAAGTCAGAGATAATGGAAAAGTTTGGACATTTTGGCCAATTTTTATCACTTTTTCCCGGCCTTATTTTATAGGGGAGAACCCCCCCCCCCCCCCCACACACACACACACACACACACATCCACAGTATCTTTAACACTAGGGCAAAAGCCTAACTAGGGAACATTTGGTGGTGCAATGGCAGACATGGATCCACACCAGTTTCCATAATAAATAATAATAAATATATTTTTGATGGTAAAAAAACATTCCCATGTTGAAATCTTATTCTCTCTTGTTTGTATCCACTACAATATGGAAATCAGACCTTGATAAAATAATCCGCCAATTGACAAGGCTTCGTGAATGAATGAATGAAACTGGCCAATATCCTGTCTGAATGACTCAGAAACCCAGGAAAGGGGACTTTTGGGGGTTTATCTTTGTTTTTCTCCTGTCTCCTTAAAAAACAACATTTCCAAATTCTAATTTGATCAGGAATATGAGAGACATAGAACCAGTACTTCATGTACCACTGAATCATTATTTTATTCATTTATTTTAAAACTTGTTCTGTGGTCTATATTTTTCAGGAAAAAAGAATGACGAAGAACCGGTGGATTTTTCTCCACGAGCGAGTGCATCTTAATGTTGTAATTTTTATTAATATGACAAAGACCATAAATATTAATAATAATAAATTGCTAACAGGCACAGAATCATTCATGAGACATTTTATTTTGGGTAATTAAAAATTGTTTCTGTGAGAGGCCAGGCATTCTTTTGGACCAGAGAGAACCTGACGGTATTTTTCTTAAATTAATAATTTATTAATCTGATTGGTATGTAAAAAGAACTGCTAATAAATTGTAAAATGTAAACCATTAGTGCGTTGTGTTTGCATTGTTTAAAAATATTAAGGGAAATGGTAATAAATTTGTCAGCGTGCGATACCGTTTTGGTAGAATTAGTGAACTTACGCAACAGGACGGGAGGGGAAAGAAGACGGAAGACCTTGCGTGACAAACGTGACGTAATTTTGTTAGAACAAACTTTCCACCAAACTTCACCTTTCTTTTTAAAAACAGGTATGTTTGTAATAAGACCAGAAAACTTAATGTTGAGTGATGATCACGGCAAAACACGCAAGTAATAGCCCTGTCATGTTTGTCACACACGAGAGTTTTGCCGTCCTCTTCTCTCTCCCGTCCCGTTGTGTAAACTCACTATTATTGGCGCTCTGTTCTGAACAACTTTATTACGCAATTCAAGATCTCTTCCCTGGACTATCCTCTGCATCCCCCATCCTTTCACATGGCCATATCTCCGAGGAGCTTTAGTGCTTGCGTCAGGGGTTTTCATGAACTTATAAAAGGGATTCCAAAAGCTGAGCGCTGGAATCTGCTGTATGTGTGTGACGCGTGTCTGTTGTGTTCGCCACATGTGGAGGACACGCGCACGTTCTTGTTCGTTCCCAGTCTCCTTCTGAATTATCCCCCACTGTTTTTCAATTGGAGATAAACCTCGTGACAGGCAGATCTTCTGGTGAGGAAAACTCTTATTTTTATTTATATATTAATTTATTTTCTTGTCTTTGTGTCGTGTTATCCAGATTTAGAAGATTTACGGCTCTCCATCCAAATTAATTGCAGAATTTTGGGAAAAAAATAGAGTGTATAGTTCCCAGGCAGAGAACATGGCCGCCGCGCGTGATCGGTGATGTGTACTGTTAATAAGTAAGCTAAAATGCCTTGGTAAATGACCCCATTTAACTTTTTACTCGAGTTGGAGTTTTTAAAACATCAACAGATACTTCAAATACTAGGGCATTGCCTTGCCTTATTTTTGTTCAATGTTAATATGCCTAGTTGTCCCTCACCTTGGAGGAGGGTGTGTGCGTGGGGTGAGGGTACTCGACCAATATTTGGGTATGGCAATGTCCTCAATTTTATTGCCATGTTTGGGACAAACAACAAAATCCACACTGTCTTGTTTTAAAGCCATTTATTGTATGACAAAATTATTGCAGGAGATCAAATTTATGTTACAGTCATTGATTTACTTTTGAAAACTTGGAGCAAATTTCATCAAGCAAATCAAATCAATCATGTACTGTATGCAATACCCTGTTTATAACTGAGGACAGACCTGCACAAAATTATATACCCTGTTTAGGACAAATTTTTGCGAAATAGTATACCCTGTTTGAGACAGAGGACAAAAACCATTGCTGCATATACCATATAAAGGATTACACCCCCAGGTCCCCAAACAACATCTGCAGAAATTCTGAAAGTTTATCCCTTGAGGGGTGTAAAATGGTTCCTCAAGAAAGCTGTGTCTTGAAAAATTTTGGTCCATTCTCTAATCTTGGACGCTCTTTTTATGGGTCTCTAAGTCTCATTTTTGGGTGATTTTACATGTTGAAGCCTGATCAAATGTTAATTTGTAAGTCTCAGTCTATTTGGAAACCAGGGTCTCGCATTCTCGCAAAGTCTCGAATATACTATTCTATACCCCTTCCTAATGTAAATCTAGGCTGCAGAAGGCCTCGTTAAGCAGAGGTTTACAACTTTGTCACACACACAGCGTACAGATCATGGCACCAGGAAAATCAGGTGGCTAATGTTCCTATCAAGAAATATCAACTCAACCATTGTTTTGACTGTTTTGCAGCCATTTTGGCAAATATCAAGAAATGCTTTCACAGGGTCCAGAGGAGTTTCATGTGAATAAATGAATTACTTATTTAAAGTCTCACCTTGAAATATGTCTATACCTGTCGCTTAGCACGATTAATTAGCCCAATGGGATCTTTATAAATCTATACTGTAAACGATTTCTTTGCTTCTTTATCTGACCCAGATCGACTTTTGAAAATCAATAACTGCAAGCAACCCATTTTTTCAGAGGTTATCGACGGGTTTTGATGTTGTAACGACAAACACATCTCCTCAGCTGGACCCTGTGATGCTTTTGGCAAATTTAGACATTTCAGGAGCAAAAGTGTTTTATGGAGAACACTGAAGCAATTTGGACCACCCGCATCTTCAAAATAAGATCTAGAGTGAAAATGGAGATTTGCCTCTGCGATGATTGTCTTTGCATTATATCTTCAATCTGCGCTTCAAATATTTGAAGTTCTTCATCACTTCATCTTCATTTTTCTTCCTGGGTATACTCAATTCATGGTTAAGGCTGCATGGGTCCAAAGTGACAGGGATGATCCGATGATATTTTCTGGGTTTGAAATTTTCGATTCTGGGATAATTTCTTTTTGGTAGGAAAATTTGGGCAAGTTTTGTTTGGGCTAGTTTTATTTATTAAATTAGGGATTTTTGTGGGTATTCAAAACAATCTGAGGATTTGTGATAGTTCCCTTGTATCCCGGCCTCGTAGTTGTACAAATAAAGTACAACCAAACTTGTTTTGCGATTGTTTAAATTTTCAGCGCATTGCAAAACAAACACAAACATTCCATTGCTAATGTTCCTATTTTTCATGTTATGTCATTTAATGCTTTCTGGAAATTTTTATGGCCCAGAAATTTGGCATGGGATTTTTTGGCAGTTAAATTTAGGGCCAGGGATTTTTTGGGGTTTTGACTTTTGCCCCCATTTGATCATACCTGTCACGTAAAATCTGGATTATCCCCCCTGGGGCATGGGTATCACACATGTCAGGGTTTGAATCTTGGCAAGCCTGTAAATTGTTTTATTCTAGTTTCTTTTTCCAACTGCATATACAATGTAGTTGCATCAGTTTTTTTAACTTCATAATGATCTTCTTTGCATTTATAAGAGTATACTGTTGTTCGTGTTTTGTGGTGTTCATTTGTATCATAGACTATGTTGTACACTGTTAACCGTACACCTTTGGTGTGGATACCAGTACGTGATGGGACCAAACTAGCTGCTAAGCTTTGGATTCCTGGAGATCTGGTTGATAAAAGTACAGTAGCAGCTAATGAAGTTACAAAATACCCAGCTATTTTAGGTAAGAATCAGAATTCTTTATCTTTCCGATAACTGATGCCTAGTAGGTGGCTTTGTGAGAAATGAATTCATAACCTTTTCTTGCTGAGCTGCCTCTAGCCTCCCAGTCACAGTCGTTCAGTTTTAAGGGCTTTTAACACCTTATTAGTAGCATTGTGGGAAGGAAGGTAATATGACTCCCCTAAAATTGACTGCCTCTTCAGTCTGAGGACTCAGAGCTTGTCACCTTGTTGTGGTGGTCAAGCTTGCATGATCCTAAGACCTGTATGGGAGCTCTGGGACCATAACAGAGCCATGGCTTTTCCTCCTGATTGGTCCAATCAAAGGCAGGAGGCTAGAATATGGACAGTCCCCTGGTCTTCCAAGTTGAGGGTTCATCATTGGACCAATCACCCCTTGCACATTGCAAAAACCCACTGGATCATGGCTTTCCTGGGGAAAAATGATGTGATAACAGTGATGGTAATTATGAAAATTGACTGCATGTTAGGCTAAGCTGTCACTGGCTATGCTAGCCTCCCCTACTATTGTTCTCCCAGACATATGGGATTTGTTCACATTTATACACAATTTATGCATTATTTGCAGAATACCTTCCATATCGTCGCACTGACTGGACGGCTCAGAGAGATGAAAAAATCCATTCATATTTCTGTGCCCATGGTTATGTGTGTGTGCGTGTGGACATGCGTGGAACTGGTGATTCTGAGGGGTATTATTATGATGAATATGAAAAACAAGAACAGGAGGACTGTTGTGATGTCATAAGCTGGATTTCTCGTCAAGACTGGTGTACAGGAAATGTTGGTAATTAATTTAAAATTGTCACCTTCTTGTTTTCAGGGTGACTCCCCTTTATATTGATTTGTAAATTCTTAGTGTTTTAGACCCCATTTACACTGGTCAGTACAAATTTTTTTAAGGGACAAAAATTTGCAAGGATCTGCCTTTCGTTTACATGGGACCTGCGGAACTGTGTAAGTTTTTTAACAGCTTCGTGTAAACGGTTTGTCTGCAGTTATTGTTTGGGCCAAAATTTGGTTTATATAGACTGCATACCCGGTCTTCTCAATGCACGAATGCATGACTCATCTATGCAGCTGTTTTGCAGGGCAGGACTACATTATTTGAAATGATTTTTGTTTTTTTCCAGGTATGTACGGTAAAAGCTGGGGAGGATTCAATGGCCTTCAGGTGGCTGCAACTCGACCCCCTGCCTTAAAAACAATCATTTCCACTTACTCCAGCGATGATCGTTATGCTGATGACGTACACTGTCGAAGTGGGTGTGTTCTAGGGAGAGAGATGCCATCATGGGCGCACATAATGTTCCTCTGGAATGCGCGCCCTCCCCACCCAGAGAGCCTGGGTTCGAAGTACGGGTGTTTTCTTTTTTCCTAGCTTTTGTCTAGCCTGTTCCGAGCTCACAAGTTCTGGACGCATATGGAACAGGTCTGGCATTGTCTAGCAATTAAATTACAACGGGAGTTATTTAAGTCAAGCTGCTTCAATCTTACAGCTCCGAAAAATGTAAACGATTATTGTGAAAAAGCTAGGGCAAAACTCGTGAAAACTGGAGAAGGGCCTATGCAAGCTCTGGAACTACTTTTCCCTAAAAATTACTATTTTTTCTGCAAAGGAATGTTAAGAGTGTAAATCAAATTGCTTTCTCTGCGATGCAGAACAGAAACTGAACAATTTGTATGAGAGATGGGAAGTGAAGATTTCCTTTGTATACGGGATTGGCTAAAGTAGAAAAGTAGAAAAATTCTTCTTAATTCTAATAAGCAGCGATAATCAAAATCTAAGTAGACGTAGCAGCATACGTTTGTGTGTCAAAGCACGTCTATTTCTTTAGCATGAAACTTCTTGCGCGAGAAGTACAACAAGGGCACGCAACGAGAATATAGTTCAAAACCACTTAGACATAGCATTGTTAGACGTATTTTAGTATTTAAACGGTAGATATAGGCATATTTTTATCCCCTAAAAGTTTTTCATCTGTTCGGATTTCCTAGCTGAAAGCCTAGTGATCCGAAAATTATAGGGATCAAAACTTACCTTTTCGAAAATTTCAGCCGGGAAAAAGGCTTCCGAAAATTCTAGGTGACCTTTTTAAGGTAAAAATCCGTTGAAAATGGGCAATTATACCATTTTTTGGAAGTTCGAAAATCCTAGGAGAGGCAGGCAAGCAAGAAATTTTACAACAAATATTCCGAAAATTCTAGATCTCAAATCGTCTTCCGAACAGTTATTTTCCGAAAATTGACGTTGGGTGCCCTTGAGTGCAAGTGGCCTCCAAGTAGCAACAGGCGCTACGAAACGTCTTTCCATGAAAAATTTCATTTTATTTCTCCATCGGTGTAACTCTTTGTTTTCTTTAATTTGATTAGGTGGAAAGAAGTATGGCTAGATCGCCTGAGCAAATCCAGTGAACCTTGGATTCACAAGTGGATGTCATACCAGGTCAGCGTGCGCCAAAACCTGTGTCCGATTTTCCGGGACAGGTAGAAATTTAGTTCGGACATGTAAACCTTTGACGAGACTTGTACATGGGACAAGCTCATTTCTAATAAGAAAAAATACAGCAACAGTTGAAAATTGACTTCAAATTACAGTAGAATTAAAAATTATGTTATTAGTCATAAAAGTAAACCTCATGCTGGACGAAATAAGGTTCAATATTCCTTTTAAGTTCACCATTCTGCGGCCATTTTATTTGTTTTTACGACCTCCGATTGGCTCAGGAATCTGGCATACAGTCCTGTTAACGACGTTAGTCGGGTCATTCCTGGCGTAAGATTGTGCATGATATCATGATATTATATTTAGGTTTAAGTCAAGAACAATTTAAAGGACTAATAATGTGATTAAACGCATTAAATGCCCGATTGTTTTTGAGTTTCGAGTTTTGAGCAAAACGTTTTGGACAAGAACTCTTTGGTTTCGGACAACAAAATTTAATATAGTGCTTGTCCGAAGGACAAGTGGATAAGAAAATTTTTCTCGTACTCTGCAGGTGCGTGACTCCTACTGGCAGCACGGCTCCATCTGTGAAGATTATTCCTCCATCGCTTGCCCGGTATTTCTGATTGGCGGTTTTACGGATCTTTACACAGATAGTGTTTTTCGTATGCTGGAACATCTAAAGTGTCCAATACGTGCGCTAATTGGCCCATGGTCCCATGAATGGCCCATGGACTCCTCGCCAGGGCCTAGGATAAACCACTTAAAAGAGTGCCTCAGATGGTGGGACTGCCATTTAAAGGGCTTGTCCACTGGTATCATGGATGAGCCTGCTTTGCGGCTGTTTTTGAGGGATGGTATGTGTTGCAAGAGGGTCAAGCTAACTGTAGTTAGGTTAAATTCTAATTGCCATTTAGTGATAACATTTCATAATAGACTTACTTCCACGTTTTTTTTAACTTTTGACCCAGACCGGTTAGCGAAAATCCATAAACGCAGCTGGAAGAAAGCGCTTTAATTTCAGTGGAGTTGCCAAGTTTTTAAAGTGATTTGTTGAAAAAATAACCAAGATATTAATAGCTCCGCGAAGTTGCAGAATTTTACATGCGTTTGTATGGTTGGGGGGCAATTTCGTGCCCACCACCATACAAATGTAACTAGAGACCCTTTAATTCTAAGGCGAGTACGACTACGAGTACAAGATTTATGTAGTGCGCATGCACGAGCGTGAGCCAGTGTCATTTTGGAGGGAAAACGTGGTAGCCGTCGTCATTCTACTACGAGTTTTCGCGCGAATGTCGTGGTGGCGAAAACAAGATATCAAATGTTAGAAGTTTTGTCATTTTGCGATCGGGAGAGGAAGTAACCTCCTTCACTCAAGATAACAATGCTAACTTTTCTAGCGTACAATAGTAAAATGAAGCTTACTGGGAAGTCTATATTTTGAGAACGCGCGAAAAAACTTCAAGTCAAATCTTGTACTCGTGGTCGTCCTCGTCCTCGAATCTAAAGGTCTCTACTATGTAAAATATGGTGACTTTAGGAGCAATATCTTTAAATTAATTTAAATTTTGGTTGTTTGTCTTAATGGGTCTTAATATGATCTTCGTAGTCCTTAACGGGTCAGGGAAATTTTGAGAAATACCTTGAATGCAGGCTGGTTCCCTTTAATTTTCCGACGAAATGCTTTTCCCGTTTCATATGGGAGTACACACCCCGTTTCGGGATAATCACTATCAGTGAATAATTTCAATTGTCAAATATTGTACTTTTGTACTGCATGTTCTGTTAACAGGCATTTCAAATGCACACAAGGAAGACGTTTGGCCGGGCCAGTGGATAGCAGAAGATAACTGGCCCTCATCAAATGTACTACTACAAGAACTTACTCTTCACGAAGACAGACGTTTGGCACCCGAATCGGAGGGCAGAGAAAAAAATGTACTCAACGAATCTGAAACTAAGGTGATTATTAAGACCTCCTTTCTAAGTGGGTCGTGGTGTGGTCTCCCCTTAGCGTTCAGCCTTGAAGAGCTTCCAGTGGATCAACGCCTCGAGGACGCTTTGTCTGAGTGCTGGGAGACAGCAACGCTTAAAGAGCCTGTCTCAGTGGTGGGATTTCCCGAGGTTCATTTACAATTGAGTTGTGATAGACCCTGTGCATTGGTGGCTGCGAGATTGTGCGATGTGTTCCCGAATGGCGAGTCCTCCCTCATCTCAAGAGGTACAATCTGCATCATGTCCACTTGAATTAAACACTCAACTTATCCTTAGCAATTTTTTACCATACCAAGCAATTCACATCTGAATGGTTGCTCTAGTTCCTTCCTCGAGTATCGGTTGCTAGGCAACTCACTCTACCTTGGTAATGTGACTAGATAGAGGTGTGGCTAATAACCAGCTGCGAGCAGAGTGGCGCTTCGGTGTCGTCTAGATAAGTCGACTTACCTGGGAAAGTTCGAAGCGCTGTTCTGTTCGTAAGGTAGTTTTGAAGATACCAAAAAGATACCAACAAAAAACGGTATTCTCTTGAATATTAGGGACCTTTAGATTCTACGACGAGAACGAAAACGAGTACGAGATCTGACTTATTGTTTATTTGTTTGTTTTTTTTTCGCGTATTCTCAAAAAAAAAAGAGACACCCTAAAAAGTTACATTGTACCTTTTTTTTTCCACCAAAAAGTTAGCACTGTTATCGTTATTGGTGAAAGAGGTTAAGCCCCCCCGATCTAACATTTGATAACCTGTTTCCGTCAATACGACATTAGTGAGCTTACGCAACAGGACGGGAGAGGAAAGAAGACGGCAAACCTTGTGTGACAAGCGTGACAATAATTTTTCTGGAAAAACATTTCCGCCGAACTGCACCCTCCTTTAAACAGCTCTTTTTGTAAAAGACCAGAAAACATTAACTTAAGTGAAGATCACAACAAAACACGCAAGGAATAGCACTGTCACACACAAGCGTTTTGCAGTCGTCTTCTTTCTGCCGTCCTGTTGCGTAAACTCACTAATATCGGTTAAAGTCGTAGTAGAATGACGACGGCTACCACGTTTTCCCGCCAAAATGACGCTGGTTCACGCGCGTGCACTACTTAGGACTGAGAAAATCTCGTACTCATAGTCGTCCTCGCCTTAGAATCTAAAGTTCTCTATCGAATGCACAACAAACAAATTTGCGCGGAAAATCTTTTTCTTATGGGGACAAGCGACGCGAGGTGTGCGTGTGTGGGAGCGGGTGGGGTGGAAGGGTCTGAAGAAGAAATCATCTTGTGAGAGGTGCTCTTTCGTTCATCCTCGAGTTTTTTCCACGTGACGAAACCAAAGGAAAGATTACGTCATGACCAAAGAGATTCTTGCTTTGAGGAATTTGTAGTTTTTCGTTTCCCCAGTATGCGGCAGCAGAGCTTCTTCAAAGACTGACCGGTGAATTTAAATATATTCCCATCTTTTCTTTTTTCCCTAGGGGTGTTAAACTTGACGCATCTACGAGGACATTCACCTGAAGAAGTTAAACCCGTACCAACTCATGAAATCTTCACAGCACGATTGAAACTGGATTCCACCGCCTATAGAGTCGCCGCTGGACATAAAATACGGCTAGCACTCTCATCGGTCTATTGGCCGTTTGTCTGGCCTTCGCCTCATGTGACCTGTCTCTCTGTACATACAGGAAGTAAAAGTAAGCTGCTGCTTCCGGTTCGAGTATCAAATGAAGAAGTCAACGAGAGGGACTCTCAGTTAGGGGAGTTTGAATCTTCTGATGCATGTAAGCGTTTCACCTTGCCTGTTGAATGGAGGAGAAAACCTCGAAAAGCAAGGTATGTCAATTACGGTGCCCTTAAAGGGACAACTTCACGGTTTAACACATGTTCGTTGATCAAAATGCTGTTTTTTCTGCCAGGACATGCTGTATCGTCTATGAAAACAAAATGATCATGTCGTAATGTTGTCAAAGAACCAATCTGCACACTCCCCTGGCAGTTACTTGATTAACGTAGGTGCAAATGGCTGTAAATTAATCAACCATGGATTAAAACCTTCAGGTCAACAATGAATTCAACGTTGGTAGTGTTGGCATAATGCACTAATTTTTCTGCGATTTTAGTACTCCTCCATCCCACTTCAGGTTACTCTGAAGTATACTTCTACTTTGAAATACACTCTGAGATCGCTGAGATACATGTCGAAAAAATTAATTTAATAAAAAGTAATTTAACCTGTCCCTGTAATGTTGCCAATGTTAGATCAAAGTACAGTAGTTAGGTAGTAGTTGTTTTTACTTTCTCAAACATTTGCTCGCAAATAGGCAGGGTATTTTTTACCTCCTAACGAGGGAGTTTCGGCCTGATTAATGGATTTGACCCCTGGCCACGTTAGCGAATAAACACAAGTTCAATCCGTTACTACTGAAGAGTGCACTGTATCGAATTGGAACGGCTCTTTGATTGGTTTCGAGGGCGTTTGACCTTCGATTAAGTGTCAATTTAGTCAGTGTAACGGTTACACCCATCTGCCTCCTTATTTGATGATAGTTTATGTCCCCAACAATTTCACCTGAACATAAAAAGTTAAAAAAGGGAGGTATCTTGAGAGGTTTTTTTCAATCTCCAAAATCGCTTTCCTTCTATTGTCCTCGTAGGAACCTGGATATTGGCTTTCTGTCTGACGAATATAAACTCACGGTAACCTTGGATGCTGGGTGCGTTGTGCTAAAAGACACCAACACGGTATATGATGAGACACGCACTGAAATACACACAGTCAAAGAAGGCCAACCAATCACGGCTAAGGTCGCCATTCATAGCCAGGTTACTATGAAAAGAGAGGATGAGACTGCTGATCAAAGTAACAGTGGGCGTAACCCATGGAACACAAGACTCGACGCTTCCAGTGAGATGTGGGCGGATGAGCAGTTTTTTTATTTTGAAAATCGTTTAACAGCTTGGCATTGTAGTGAAGAGTGTTTTGATAGAAAATGGACGAAGAAAATAGAGCGATTCCATGTTTAATACATATTTTTTTTAGAATCCTGATACTTACATTAATTTTTGGAAGGATTTTAATAAATAATGGTTTGAATTTTTGCCGGGAAAATATAGTCTTTGAAATTAACATCTCAGAGCCATTTTCAAGTTCGAACAAAGTTAACCGAAGATCGTCATCATTTAAATTATTTCCATCCGTTGAGTTCTTTCCATGTCAACTTCTGCGTCCAACTTCGCCCGTTGATCGCTTGTTCAACCTGTACCTCTACATCTTCCCAAGTTTTACTGTTGTATTCCGGGATTCCATTTATACGAAAATTATTTCTCCGCCTTTGTACTCTATCTTCTAAGAATGTGATGCGAAATCTTTGCTAGTTTCATCAAGTTGTTTGTTAGTGGTCCAGCCCATCTTGAAAGTCAATTCCTCATCGTTTTTTTTAATCTCCTGCACATCCCTCGAAGTCAAAGATTTAATCATCGACTCTGAATGTAATAAAGTTTATTCTTTTGCAATTTATTGGTACTTCTTTTGAGTCTCAATGTAAGTGAGTGGCTTGGAATGTCTTTTGAATAAATCAATAGAAGGGAGTGGATTGGATGAGTTGCAGGAAGGTGTATCAAGCCAGCGCAGCAAATAAATTATTCCTGATGAGGTTTGCAAGCATCCACGGTGAAGATAGCTATTTGTATTGGGGCAGGGGGGAGGGGTTGGGGGTTGTGGTGGATGGATCTGCGTAAGAAGATGTGAACGCTGTAAGCGTCTAACTGTTCCGCCCAACCATCCGGGTGGAGTCGCAAATTTATAGGCAAAAGACAATGGAATAATTTTCAACCAATAAGAAAAGAGCTGATGCCTTTGTTTAGCCAATCATGACGAGCTTACGTATTGAATAATTTGTGTGACGAGGTCAACGTCGAATTAGCAAACAAAACCTATGATAAAGAAACAAGACAATAACAAAACAAATTCAAACCACAACATAAATGTTTATTTAGTGGTTTGCTTGAACGAGTGAAACTAAGTGTTGGTTGTCGAAGAAACGGAAAACAAGCGGCTTAATTTTATAACTATATCGTGGTTTTAAAGCTATCGACTAAATAAGCGGTTTATTCACGGCTTATTACATGCCTTCTCGCACGCTTTCTTGCTATTCTCTGTTGTCTCTCCCGACACGTAAATGTTTAGTAGCGGTTTTGAATGAATAATGTTTACTCCGCTTAATCTCCGTTTCGTCTTCCTACATATAACCAAACATAAAGCTGGGTAACAGACTCGTTGCGTAAATCGAATTGGCGCTGATCTAACTATTGTTAAACCTTTACAGACTCATGGGAAAGACAGGTAAAGCGCTTATCAATAGCCTGTTCCAAGCGTTCAGATAGTGGAGAGCGGTGCGAAGTAAAGAAAGCGATGAAAAGTAGAGGGGGACTGCTATCTGAACGCCTGGAACAGGCTAGCTTATCAATACAATTATTGTTTTGAGCGCAAACCGTAAATGAAAAAGAAGCTTCCCAGCGCGCTTTTAGATAAGAACGGAAAGGACTTTACACTGTCTTCTCATGATCTGGCCTCTGAGCATTGACAGATCAAAATACACTAATAGATGAAATGTCCATAGAAAAGTAGATCTACAACGGCCAATAACATAAGAATCAAACTGCAAATCACTGAACACGCCGCCAGCCATTCACGTTCCAGTGATCACAGTGATATAGCAAGAATTAATCTCCAAAACAGAAAGCGGGCGAGTCACTACGTGAGAATAAAATTTTTAAACTAAGTAAAATCCACGTGGGAAATAATCAGGCAAGAGAAAGGGAGCGTTAGATTAATCAAAACACCGCAGGCTAGACACTTAAGTAGCAAGGAAACAATAAAACCAGAATGCGTTGCGTGAAGGAGAAGATTCCCGTGACAGAGTACTAGTATAGCCAAAGGCCCAAACGGCCGCGCAGGAGCTTATCCCAGTTTCCTTAGCGTTAAGTATGCCTAGGAGTATTGCTACTCTCCCCCTGGACGGGATGCTAGTCCATCGCAAGGTTACCCCCCAGGAGTATGTCACCGGTACCTATTTATACACCTGGGTGAAGAGAGGCAAAGTGGAGTAAAGTTCCTTGTCTAAGAAAACAACGTGACTGGCGAGGCTAGTATAGAGAAGTATATTTAAGGCCAACAGCTTAATTCAAACTGGCCTCATGTATTCTGCGGTTATTCCTTTAAAAAATTAAATCGATCATAGGTTACTTATTAGAGTATGATATTTTATTGTAAAACAACGTACATTGTAAACAGCACAGCTGCAGGAAATTCGCCCTAAAAATAAACTAGTGTTTCTCACGGAGAAATCCGCTTGTTATTGCAACTGATATTCCCTCGTGTAATTGTCAAACCTCGGAACGGGCAAACGAATGTGATAGAGAGGTTAAGAGTCACGTTTACGGCAAACGGCAAACGTGCGATTCAGGTTAATTATTTCTCAGAATAGAAAATAAGCAGATAAAAATTGTCCAAACGTGGTACAAATTCACGTTTGCCTTGGCGTAAACGTGACTTCTTAACCTCTCTAATGTAGCTTACGCTACGCAATACAGTCATCGCTGCATTACCTACCAATTTAACATAAACGTTTTTTCAATAACGCAACAAAGCTTAAACAGCTCATTTAGGTTATGATATAACAAGTTAATCAGTCGAGTATGGTAAGCGGTAGTCTCTTACGGTTACTAAGCAACACAAGCAACGTCAGAGGGACCAGAGCTTACGTAACTGCACGCTGAGTAATTGGTATTGTAAAATCCAAAAAATGAGATTCTTTATCCAAGTGATACTATCACCAGTGACTCGGTGTAGATTGACGTTGTCAATTTTTGCAACTTTTGCATATACATTATAATACCTTTGAAAATTAATCTATGAGTATATACCCTATTTAATTGCTGGTTGTCGGGAAAATAATGAAACCATAAAAGATAAAGACACATTATTAGATAATATCCATTCTTTGTTGTACGATTGACGCTGATGTTTTATAACAATGCATCCTCAGAGACCCAGGGGCAGATAGTGGGGGCGAGGGAAAGTCTAAACGGGCGTAAAAATAAGGCACGAAGAAAAGTAAAGAACGGCCAGAATAGCCCCTGGGGACAATGTCTTACTAGACCAGTTCCAAACGGTCGCCGCCGTTCTGGCTTCTGATTGGTGCCAGAAAACCAATCAGAAGCCAGAAAGACGGCGACCGTTTGGAACTGGTCTGGTAAGACATTGTCCCCAGGGGCTCTTCTGGCCGTTCTTTACTTTTTTTCGTGCCTTATTTTTCCGCCCGTTTAGACTTTCCCTCGCCCCCACTATCTGCCCCTGGGTCTCCGAGGATGATAACAATGGTACATAAGGCGATTTTCAACCTCGTTCCCAGGGCTCTCTCCTACCTGGAGGGAGGTTGGGCGATTTTCCCTTTTCTTAGCTTTCACCTGTATCGATCGTCTATGTATGCAGTTTTTTGTTTCTGTTTTTGTTTTTGTATGTTCGTTTGTTTTTTAACGTGTTCGCGATGCATAAATAATATCAACGTCTTATCGACAAAGAATCCGCGGTACAAACCACAGTCTGACTTAACGCTGAGGTGAAAATGTTTTCAAACGTCTGTCATTTCTGCTTGCAAACATCTCTCTCTGCTGCCGTTGTGCGTTCCGTTCCAGTTTGGATCTTTCTTGTGTTTACATAGCCACCAAATGGCAAAGATACAAAATGCGACAAGAAGGGTACCAACCACAATGATGCCCGCGATCAGCGCCCATTTTCTAGTGCTGTCCTTCTTCACAATCGCACGCACAACCCCCTTTGTGTGATTGCTACTGGTGGGGACTGGTGCGCGGGTAGAAGTTAGTGACGCACTTCCGGCAGAGCCTGTGTTAGCAGACCCCTGACCAGATTCACCAACGTCGTCACACATGTCCTCGTCGTCTTCAATGCAATTTATTCCGGTATTGACATCGGGTTCTCCGACGAGTACAGTCTTGGAATTTACCGAGGAATTTTTTGTTGGTAGAATTTTAACAGGCTTTTTGACGCTGTTGTTGGTTACTAAATTTGGGCTAGTTACATTGTTCTCTTTCGTGTTATCGCCTGACGACTGACGATTTTCGCCCGAAACCTCTGCCCTCTCACCCGATCCTAAAGTGTCGGAATCACAATCATCTTCGTCATCCGAGCACGGTATCTCGGAATTTCCCGCATGTGACGTGGGGATTCGTGAACTGCCGTGGGTGGAAACATGCGTGGTTGCTGCTGGTTTTTGTGAAGTGGGACTGCTACTTACAGCTGTTGTAGATTCTACTGTGGTGACTTTCAGCGTTGTTGGCTCCGGGTCTCGTTCACAAGTCGATCTTGGGCGTCCATGCCGTGTGTAGACTTCTTCTCCATTAACAACTCCTTGAACAATATCTACGCCGTTAAAATTGATCTCTTGCAAACAGCCTTCAAAGTTTATTCCCGACGAACGACTGCTGGAAAGGAAATGACTTGTGGGCATGCCGCCAATAAAGATATCCCCTTCCCCGTGTCTTAGGTCAAACGAAATAAATTTCCCAGGAAAACGTCGTGAGATCTGTAGAGCTCCATCAAGAGTCAAAGTAAGCTGGTTCTGGTTCCTTGTAACGCGAACAGAATGCCATTCGTTATCATCGCACGCTTTTTCACGCACGTGCACGTTTAACTCACCAAATCCAAGATTCCAGCGTAACAAAATAAAACCACGATAAAGTTCGATGAGAAAATAGTCTCGACCGTTGCCGCACTCTAAGAGCAGACCATTCCGTTTGGCTGTTTTGAATCTGAAAATGATCTTATCCAGCTGCGTTGAAATGGCTTTGTTGGAACGGTTGTATATCACATAATCTGATTGTTCAAGACCCAGAGCAGGAAGTGCTGCGAATGGAAGAAAATTAAAAGACATTAAGTGATGCAGAGGATAACGGGATTGTTGCATGCCAAACTAGTGATCTCAGGTAAAAATTGGGATCGGAAGCCTTTGGTATAGGTTCTTTGAGGCGATCAATTAACACAGCCGGTCGGTATTTCAGGGTTTTGAAAGTACGCTATGTACAGCGTAATTTCACCTGAAACTTAACAAAACCGTAGTTGATAATCAGTTCAATAATCAACCCAGATCCCCTACTCTGCATAATGAGGGCTTCTTAACCCGGATCAACTTTCCTAATTCCTACGTGTTTCGTTTTCCGCGTGCCGAAATTCGCTTTAATTTTAAAAGTATTCAGGCGACGTTTTTGACCGAACAGTGAAGCAAAAGTCGAAGGCAATTATTTCAGCACGACAAGACAGCTACAATATATCCAAGAATGATTGTAACTTCATCGAGTATGTATGGTTCGTGCAATAAGGTTGTAGCCCTGATCACGGTTATATGTTGTCTCAACAGAAGAATCTCCACTCTGTCAACGATGAATATAATTACTTTGAATGTGGGGAACCATATATAACGCTGACGGTTCAGACGGTTCTTCTAAGTGTTTTTGGATCTCGTATTGATTATCCTACCGGATGACAATAATTTAAAAAGTGCAAATAAGCTGTATGAATTGCAGGGTTAACATTCATACGGCAATAACGGGCACTTTTAATCAGCCTAATTTATCGACTAGTACCAAAGGAGAAATTTATTGACTTTTTTTTAAGCGAAAAAAAAAAAGAATTCTTGGCTCGATCATTTTTTAAGGGGCCAGCTTTATAGAGAAAGTTTTGCATGTTTTATTTATTTACAGGGCAAAGAATATGACTTTTGTAATCATTATTTATATATAATTTAATTTTTATATTGCATCGGTAAATTGAGTTTCAAAAAGACAGACAAATAGGTGTGAATAGTGAAGCATAGGCTGCGCTGAAAGGATAACTCAATATCGCCTAATATCGCTTCCTGCTGATCGATACATACAGTGCATTTTTTTTTCTAGAGTATTTTTATGTGACCGTGGTTTTTGTGTAGACTTTTTACGACCCTGCTTCCACTGACTTTTTTCAGCGGTGAGTTCGCTTGGGACAAGCTCCGCTGGATTTACGTTGTTGAACTAAGCCTAACAAAGCCACGAGTTTTCTTGAAGCAGCCAGGGCTGTCTGTCTTAGTGTTAAAAAAAAAACAACAACAAATAAATGAGACAAGATGACCGGAAGAGTTTTCATCAAGTAGCCTTTTAGTTTTACCGCATTTACTCAATCTTCTCTTGACTTGTTACTACCGTTTTGACTTGACTTGACTTGTTACTACCGTTTTCAGAAGTTTCAATGTTTTATCTTACGGTAGTACTTTTAAAAATCAACTGCACAACGTTGAGGGCTTGACTTAGCAATGTAAAACAGATAATCAAATCTTTGGGGGCTTATGAACGACTCTGTGTTGAAGTGATGAATTTTTTTGAGGTATCAAAATAAGACATGGAAGCTATTAGAGTGGCGTGATTTTCTAATCGTCTGTTTCTATTGTAGCGTGGAAACAAATTAATTTGTATTATCTTGGCTTCCGGCCAGGTCTCTATCATACTAGAATGTATCTAGTGAGGAAGTAAACTGAATTTCCCATCACAAAAAGATATAATCTGGTTGGTAAGTTAGCGGTGAACATCCGAAAATCGAACTTTGCACTGATAATTCGCAGCTTGTGAGGTCGAATAAACATCACAAGTCACTATTCTCTCGTCACACATGTTATAATATTTGTCAGTTTTTATCTTTCAGTTTTTCTTTTACAATTTTTTTACTTTGTCCAAAATTAAAGCTGTCATTGCAAAGTAGCAATGTCAAAGCTTCATGAATCTGAACTGTATCGTCGCGTCATGCGCCACGATTAATGGCTGAAGGAGTTGTTCCGGAAATACGGTCGAAGTGAAAATTCTCCCTTTTAAAAATTTCGAGGTTATTAGTGGTTATGCAAGAGTCTTTACATGCAGTTATAGCTTATGAAATAATACTGAAACGCGATCTGGGCGCAACCATAGTACATCATAATGTTTCTTCCGTAGATCGACTATAGATCGTTCAGTTGAGATAATTAGTACGTTTTTTAAAAGTTCAATGCATCCGAACGCTTCAGTTAACGTTGAAAACCATCAACTAATGAAACTGGAAAGTGATAATTGATTCTTATTTTGTGATTTCACCATGACGAATAGTTACAGGCGGAAAGCGATGAAAGGTGGCTGTACTCTCAAGCTAAATCACAAAGCAGGACAGCCCTAAGAAACAACCGAAGGAAACGCAACACTGTTTGCAGTTGTTATCCCAGGGGTTTCTTGTTACTAGTGAAGGCGAGTGAAACCTCGATATAACGTTACGGCCAAGGGACTGGCAAAATGCGTATGTTCGCTAGCGTTATATCGAGGTTATTTTTTATATATTTTACTATTACTGGGGCAAAGCAAATCTTTCGTTATATCGAGCACTTCGTTATTTGGTTCGTCTTATCGACGAACTTCGAGGCTGTAATGTATTTGTAATTGGGTGTCCATTGTCTTACTGTATAGATAAATATTGTCTAGATTAGGGATTGAGACTAGATACCTTCATCGCAAGTTCTCCCTCTGAATCCTGTAGCCGTGCAATCGCAAGCAGTTGCGGTGAATTTGTTCAAACATCTGCCGTTGTTTTGGCATCTGTTATTTTCATGGCACATGTTAGTGCATCCAGCAGCTACTTTGTTCGAGCTCTCCACGACCGCCTTGGTTATTTTCCCTTGCCCAGCCGTGTCCTCAAGCATCTCCATATCCATAACACATCCTACAAATCTATTCAAAAGTTTAACCGATGGCTCAGTTACGCTGTTCAGTCCGGGCGGCAGTCCGCCAAAATATATCGGGCTTATAATCGTAAAGCTTGTCTTTTCGCGGCTGCTAGTAAAGCTGATCTCACTGCGATCCAGTGTGACTGTCATCTTCCCTTTGCTTCTCTCTAACAGCACTTGATGCCACAGTAAATCGTTCAAATTTTCCCCGACGTCCACCGACATTGCTTTATATCTCGATCCGTGTTTAACGGTTAACAAGAGCTTTCCATAGCTCAATTCAACGCGCAAAAAATTTGTCTTTCCTTGGTCATCCATGTACAGAAGAAGCGCGTTGGACAGAAAAGTCTTAAACCGAAATCTTAGCGCTCGATTTACGGACATGTCCCACTTTTTACATTGGAGAAATGAGGCTTCCTCGTCAATGAATGTCTCTGCAGTAGATTCGTGAAGTAGAAGAGCAACCCAAACGTAAAATAGCAAGCGAATGTTCCTTAGCGTATCCATTGTCTTAGAGCTTGTGTGGTGAACGTTGTAGAAGAAAGGGGATATCTTGATTATATCAATTGTCAAGTTTACTTGAGAGAGCAAACAGATAAGCCATTTATATTGACTATTTGATTATACTTATCAACCAATGGGGAATGTGCAACTCAAATAAACAAAATACCAATTAACCACTCCTTCTATTATTCTCTAGTGAAACTTGACGCGATCTATCACTAACTCAGCTTGAATTGACTTGTTTTTTTAATCATCATTTTTCTTGTCCTGAAAATAAGTAAAAAATTAACTAGCCAAGAGACATTGTAATCAACCTGCGTGGCAGACGCGCGAGAACGCGAAATGAGATAGCGTCCATTCTTTTTTGAGCGCCTTTCCCATGCGGGCAAGTAAAGTTCTAAGCATGTCTAAGTAAGAAGCAGGAATTTCGGACTAACATTGCTAAATTCGCTCTTTCCTAGTCTGATTCTGTTTTTATTTATTTGATTTAAAAAGATAATTTCGCTCTTTCGGCTTAAGAGTCTCTCAACCTCTGTCGGCTGGGTTTTCTGATTCATTTTTGGAAGCAAGGACCAACGTTACAAAAGAGAAGGACCGAATCCTGATAAAAGATCTAATCAGCTGTAAGTGGAAATATAGAAACACAAGAAGAAAGGCTGATTTTACAGTCGGGAAGACTAGAAGGAAGTGAACCTATGGATTTGAATTCGAATAAAAATGAATATATAACTAAAGAATGACGGCTGTTGCTATCCCCCTGCAAAAGTTTCGGTTTCGTGTCGGGTCTTTGACCCAATGAGGTCACAAGTGATCCTTTGTATGGCTGCAGCGGACGTCGTTTTCGTCACACGTTTTTCCATTAAAGAAATCGTCGCATATCAAGAATTGTTTTGCGTGATAATGATACTGGAGAGCTTGATCAACCACGACGACGAACACGAAAACAAGACATGAAAAAACAAAAACAAATAAAAACTCTCACGTACAGCACCCTTTTGGAAGATCGCACGACTTACGGGTCCTTACGTTGTCAAACATTAGAAAAATTGATGGGAACAGCAATGCGATTGTTACTTGTACCTCTAATAACACATATGACTATTGAATTAAGCAATCAGGAAATTCAAAAAGTAGATAAGACAAAATTTCTTGGCATACTAATCGATCAGCATTTAACATCATATCAAGTCATCAGTATTGATTATATTGTAACAAAAATCTCTAAAATTATAGGAAAACACTGTAGAATTTGCTTCTTTGTCGATCAGCCACTTCTAAAAGTTTTGTATAATAGCTTGATTTATCCATATCTCCCTTATGGTAACATAGTTAAGGGGAAACAACTTAACTATCCTTCAAGCTAGACTAGAAAAATTGTTAAAAACTGCAAAACAGGCATTGACACGTACAGTACATCTATCAAATTAATGATTTTCTTGTGGGTGCATTCTCTTATAACTTAGAACAAAATCTCTTCCAGACTTTGACAGACTGTATTTTACTGATTTTTGTACAGAAAATACTGAACGGCATAACCGACTATACAAGAAAAAAAATCTACACAAAAAGTTTAACAGGACAAATTTCGGTGTTTATTCGACTAGAAATAAAGTATTTAGCATGCGGAATATTATCCCAGGTAAAATAAAACAGTCAGTTTCAAATAAATATATTTAGGAAAAAGATCAAACAGTTTTTACTATCAGAATAACTATTGTAATCAAGGCTTAGTTCTAGGTTGCTATTTTCGTATGCTTATAATTTCACTGGGAAATAGCGTAATACAAGTTAATATAAATTTTTGATAATCCCTGATACCAAATATATTAAAGAAATATATTAAGGTAATTTAAAGGGAGGACTACCCTGTAAAAGCCTGCAAGGGTTTCCGTAGTCCTCCTCCATTTCTTAATAATAATTAGTTTAATAATTATGTAACATGTACCAGTAACCAAAATGGAAATAAACTTGAAACTTAAGACTTCGACTTCGATTTCGTCGGAAATTCGTTGCACGACCCCAAACGGCAGTATATTTTAAGTTTTATCGTGTTCAAATAAACTAAGGATAGGTAATAAAATTTGAAATCCTAAGTCAAACTCCTTTTTGGCTAAAATGTTTTCAGCCTGTTCAGGAATAACTGTAACCTTAAAGTTTTGTGTGTTGTTGGTGTTGTTCCATTTGTCTTGCCTCCTCAACCGCTGGTCTGTAACAGACCCAGTGGAATCTGTCTCTTCACCGGGTTCTCGGAGTAAACGTCACCTGCCGTGGTTTATTTTCCAGTGGGTTTTTTGTAGTTGTGTAGTCCCATAAGAGCTTAAAGGGGTGGCAGGCCTTACATCTTTACCGGTATGAAACCCAATCACCTACACTTGTGAGGACAAAACCCCATGACCAGTGAGGGTCAATTCCAATTTATTCAATACCTCCATTTGTTTTTCTTTTTTCCTTTCTTTCTTTTTTCGTTGACTCTTTCTGCCGTAAGGATCAGCTTAATGTTTTCAGGCTCCTGACAGCTTTAATTTTGAAATTTGGTATTTAGTGCTCTAGCGACTGAGAACAGAAAGATTTATACTTTTTTAAGCGAGATCGATCACCGTCGGCACCCTCTAATTTTTTTGTCACTGGTAATATTGTTCTTTATTTTTTATTCTTATTAACAAATATAATATTTACAAAATACACTGCATGGTTTTTATAGGAGTCACAATAGAAAGTGACCGGGAAAGCAAAGATTAGCGGAGTAGAAACAAACTATTCGCCAGTCGGGGAGGCTAAATTATGACTGGGTAGACCAAAAAAGAAGGAGGTAGGCCCAGCGGTTTAACTGCTCAGCCACGCTAGTTGTTCGAAGGCCAATTAGCGCTTAACGCGGGTTTAAATTTCACCCTGATTTCTTTTTGTTGTGTTTAAAAGCATTTTCTCGGATAATTTTCTCTGTTACTGAGCTTCCAATCATCAACTTGTGGACAAAAAGAATTAAAACTGAAATAAACTCAGTCAGAATAACCAGTGTACAACAGTTCATATACTACGACCAATGGAGGGTTGGGGAGAGACAGCGTTGAAAGGGACATGCTTTTTAAGCTTTCAAATCTGAATTCAAATCTCGCACTAACCCTGGGTTATCTTAACCCAGCTTTCAACAACTCGGCCCTGGACTTGAAATCCGAGGCCCCGAGATCAAGTCCCACCCCGAATTTTGTAAAAAGCCAACTGGTTCGCCTCCTAACAGTTCGTAAACTACGAGTAGTCCCTCATTTTTCCTCAGGGATAGTAGAGCAAGCGAAAGGCCAGCGCACCTGAAAATCACACCTTTTCTCGCGTGGGGTGATTTTCACGCGCGCTCTCTACTATCCCTGATCATGGGGGGAAATGAGGCTACTCGTAGTCAAACTGCAGTTGGGATTCTTAACCATATTATGTTTCATTTGAGTTATTTGTTCCATTATCCCCGAAAAGCCCCAACAGAGGAGTGGATAATTAAGTATTTATTTATCAGTTTTATTTATTTGTTTATTTTTAGACCGAATTGAACCACTGGGTAGGGTTTCATTGAGTCTGATACAGCGTTTTTTTGTTTTTCATACTCAGGGTCCGTCCTAAATCCTAGGTTATCGTAAATGTATGCTCTTCTATTGTTTGCTTTAAACAAAAGACCAATTGTATCTTTTTCCGATCTTTTGAAAAACTCGGGCTCCCAAACTATCATTAGCATAAATACACTACTTACAAAGAAATACAAACTTAAGTCTCAGAAGATGAAGGTTTATGCTGCATGTGTTTATTTGGCAGAGTTGAACTTCAAACAGAGCACCCACGCTATGTGCGGGTAAACAACTCACTAGGTAATTTCAGGAGCCGGGAATCAGTTCCTGGTAATTTGTTCAAATATAAAAATGTTGTTGTCATGGATATTAGTCGATGCGACGCCGTAAGCCGTACGTTGAAGTTTCCTTCAATACAGTGGATTGCTCTCAGTATATTAAGATTTGTACTAATCTTTCCTTCGAAGGAAAAAAATTGGATTACGGTTGCAATTTGATGATCCTTAAATCACACACCTTTTTAACTCCTTCAAATAACTGCGCTTAACCATGAAATAACAATTATGTTTTGGTTGTTAATGTAATCGAACTTTGTTTTGTTTCTTTTTGTTTTGTTTTATAAACTTAAGTTGAATCGATAAATAGTCAATACGTAAGCTCTCCATGATTGGTTAATCCATAACGTCAACCTCTTTCTCATTGGTTGGTAAGTATTCCATTGTGTTTTTGCCAATAAATTTGCGGCACTATCCGGATGGTTGGGCGGAATCGTAAAACCATCGTACCATAAACATCTCTGTTACACACTTCATTCAGTTCATTCTGATTCACTTCACCCAAAGGATCTCAATCAGATTCAATTCATTCAATTCTCGCGATTCGTTCAGTTCATGTAGTTCATTCAGTGAATTCACTCAATTAATTCATTGAGCTCATTCAGTTCAATTGAATTCATTGAAATCGCTCACTTCATTCAATTCCCTCAATTTATTCAATTCATTCTATTCATTTCAGTTCGTTCAATTCAATTCATTCCTGTTCATTTATTCAGTTCATTCAATTTGCTCTATTCATTCATTCTACTCAAACAATTCATTCTATTCATTCACTTCATTTCGTTCATTTAATTTGTCTAATTCTCTTACTTAATCCATTCAGTCTATTCTATTCATTCAATTCATTTAGTTCAGCTCATTGAATTCATTGAATTCACTCAATTCAGTCTATAGATCAGTTCATTCAATTTAATCGATTCAGTTCATTCAATTCATTCAGTTAATTCAGTTCACTTAATCCATTCAATTCACTTACTTTATTCAGTTTATTCAAGTTATCCATTTATGTTCGAAGTTTTAACATTTTGAGATCGGGAGAGGGCGTAACCTCCTTCATTGAAATTAACCGTGTTAACTTTTCTAATGAAAAGGACTGAAATAAAGCTTTCCGGGGTTGTCGATTTTTTGAGCCACGGGATAGGCGAAAAAAGCTTTACTCGCCCTCGTAGTCGCATTCAATCAGAAGGTCTGGATCTCTAATATTTTCGAAACAGAGCGAGCGCTGACACTTCAGCAGTATCAAGCGCGGGCTCTCAAGTTACTTACAATCCTCTGCTCCCTGTGAATTCCTTTGCGGTATTAAAGTAATGAATTGTTGCTGAATTCACTAGTTTTGACTTTGATCACTTCGGCTGACAAAGCCACAGCAAGACACGAGTGCTGTGTAAAGGCTACCACCCGAAGACCTCGTCGCTAGGTTCGGAGAAGCAAAAATTGCCTAGAATTTTCTATAGCTTGAGGAAGGCTAAAAATTTCAGTAGATGACCGTTCCATTCATGCATAATTTCGAAGCTTATCTAATAAATTCCCTGCGATTTTCAGAATTTCTGAAGTTTAATTTTTCCCATTTCACTACCCAGGTTAAGCTATTTTTCGTAGAGAATGGAAACCTAAAATTTTCGGAATCGAAAATGGGGTGCAGAGACGAATCAGAAAAATTATTACTTTTGTAAAGTAAATTACGGCTAAAATTTTCGGGAAAATAATACTGAAGTCCTTGTAATAGTTCGAAAAGACTCAAGTTGCCGTGATGACCGAACAGATATAATTTTTTTAGTACCACTTGGAATACATTTCTAGAGATCTAAAAGTACTCTGGGTAGCCTGAAAAGTGTTTGTGGGTGCTCCTGGTTCATTGAATGCAAATTCACCCCCCAGTTCAGGCTTGTCAGCTGAAATTTTGAATAAGCGGCCGGTCAGGCACTTTTTTAAAAAATCGAATTTCCTTTTCAAACTGGTAGAAAAAAAAATTATAAATAACAAATTCCTACGTCAGAGTCATGCGAAAGTGACAAGTGTTTGGCTGAAAGCTTTTTCAGTTACCCTACTGATGTGCGTGACACTTATGACAAGCGCTGCTTTTTAGATTCGTTCACTACCAGGCTAGGTATCCACAAAGAAAAAGTCCGCTTTAATCTTGTGAAGTACTCACGAACAAATGCATGGTGCTATGCAAAATACTGGAGTGCTGTAGAGGTTTTTTTTTTTATAAAGACTGTCTATAAATGATTACCTCATATCGAAACACATCATGACTACACTAATGTCTGCACGTGTCTTCTAACATATTGATATGCGTTAATAGTAACTTACTTCATACGTGGAAAATGAGAAGTGCCAATAAAACACCAAAAGCTCACGAATTTGCTGACGGTTCCCAGAAAAACGGAAAGAAAATTGAAACGCTGACGTAGTGCCTTATTTTTATGTGGTCACATGATGACTGGGAATTTTGTTACACAATACATAAATTGAACTTGTTTCATGCAGTTTCTTTGTTTAGGATGTTTCGCTCTGCTTTTTGGCAGCTTCTCTGCTTGGTTTGGCCTTTATTAAGTGCAGGCCTAGTTCACGAATGCAATTTCGATGGGACAGGACTGGTCAAACGAAATCTATCCTCCTCCTCGTCATCGATTCTTCTTTCTCAGCAGCTTCCTGCTTCGAGAGCCAGCTCTCATTCGTGCATTGTAACAGCAGCCCACAGTGACAGTTTTCTGCGAGTCAAGGCGAACGCCCTCGGTGAAATATCTGGTAAGTCTCTATTTTTCTCAATAAAGGCGATAGTTATGATGTTTGAAATTAACCTTTGTGTCACGAGAATCAAAGATTTTCAGAACGCGGAAAGAATCACAAGCGAGCGCAACTGCTTGCGGTTCCGCGCGAGTTAAGGCGCATTTTTACACTTGAGTGAAAACGCTTGCTAATCAGGCGACACCTTTGCTTTGCTCTGTTTAGTATAGCCTTTGTATACCTTATATTGTATCGGCTTAATCACTGTTTCCTTGCATGGTTGATTGGAAAGTTAACGTTCGGATAATGTACTGATTTATTCACATCTATTTATAACCCCGGGCATGATAAACTTGTTGATACCAACGTTGCCACCACCACTCATATTCTGTTTGATTTGATTACCATTATCTATTGATTTTAAGTATGGCGTCTTTAAAGAGAGACGTCTGGATGATTTTTGTGCTGAGTGATCCGGAAAACTTTCGCTTTCACTGTCAGTGTTAAAGTACAGTGTGACACGCGACAATTCCGGGTTCGCGTGACATGAGTTTGCTTCAGTGACCTCGCAGCCGTTTTCGTCTCGTCCCGCAACACTCCTCCTTTTTAATGGGGAAACGGCTGCGAGGGAGACTAGAGTCAACCATGAACCACTAGCCAACCTCGAGTCACGCCTGTGTTAATTTTTGAGTTTCATGGCCACAGAAAAGCAATAATTAACAGTTAGTAGAAATTGTTTGACCTGAGTACGAATATGTAGTATGATAGGGGGATGATAGGTAATCAGAATACAGGTTTCGTAACGAAAGAAAAGCGTTCTCTAGGTAACAACTTGGTTAGACATTTTCGTACCCAGTCTCTCTGTATCCGCTCAGCCTGACTTAGATAACCCCTCCCGCAGCAGCTGCTCTTTACAAACCTCGATCATTAACTTTCCTTAAGAATTCCGACGCCAACTGAGGAACAGTTTCCATTTCAACAATTGTTATGGATTTACAGGAAAGTACTTGTAGCATTTTGCACTCTAGCACTCTAGACGTATGAAGCCAAGTGCGTAATATTTGTTACAAAATTAACCTCTGTCTTCTCCACAGGCTTTGCGCTTTCCCAAGGCTCAGTGGGGAACGGCGAGAAACTACACGCGAGAACTGGAGACAAGCGAGAAGCGCGAGAGGGGGATGATGGGAACGAGTGTAGAGCGCGTGCGGGGAGTGATTCCCTTTGTCCCCGCTTCACTTAATAATTAACTCAAATGTCCCCCAAAAAGTGATCGCGAGCAACTGGGTACGAGGCAGACGAAACCTTTCCCGAGGAACGACGCCTCGATAGAATTGCTTTTCTGTGGCCATGAATCTCAGAAATGGGGAAATATTAGGGCTTTAATGGAGGCTGACTTGTGTTTGGCTCTTGGCTGGTGTTTCACTCGGACTCGCGTTTGGTTCGTGAAACGACAAAAAATATATGCTAATCGAATAAATTTCGGACATCTCAAAGAAATAACTACCTCGCGAGAAGTGTCTATCTGGCTATGCTGTTTTTGTTTTTTTTTTTTTGCTTTTTCTCGTCGTGCGGATTTATTTATTTATGATTTTTTGGTTAATTATTAATTAGTTTAATTATTTTGTTAAAAACAGGATCCCTTCATGTGTCCGTGTTTGGAGCAACAGATTCCTCTTTAGGTCATCTGTATGTACCTGTAAACGGATCTGGAAGCACATTGACTGCCTGTCCACAGAAATCCAGCCGTAAGTATCTCGTTCTTTTCACGGGAACACCAAACCTGAAATATTCAGCCGAAATATCTGACCGCGTGAGGACGATAACATTGAACCAAGTGGAGACTTTCGAAGCCAAGGGAACGTCAACGGTGTTCCAGTTTCAGCCAACACCCGGAATTTCCAAACGACAACTCGATGTTACTGTAGAGTCGAACACCGATACCTCGGCTTACCTAAAAGTGTCTCACAACTGTGAAAGCGTAGTAAATAACATAAGGCATCTGGATTACGACAAAACATCAATACGGCTCACATTTGCCAAAAAGGGGCGAATCACTTTATCAAAAGCATCAAGTCCTCGGCTTGAAGACTCGGGAGACATGTGGTTTATTGGAGTCGCTCTTAAGCGCAACGATACATCTAAACTGAAGAATGTAACATTAACACTAAAAAGCTCCTTCGACTATGATTATGGTAAGCCATTTTATTTCCTGATAAGTTTATCTCTCTTCGGGGGAATCTTCGTCTCCCTGTGGGCGTTGTTGTGTTTTCGAGATCCCTATATTCTTGTACAAGAGGATAGTCCTGTCGAAAGCGGCTCAAGTTATTCGTCGACCTCCATTGCATCGTCGACCTTTAAAGACAATCTAAGAAGCCTGTTTTCTAGTTGTTGGAAAAGAAACGGAAGAGCCGCCGATGAATTAACACCACTGATACGTGGAACTAGCTACAGACACCCACTCAAATGGAGAGAACTATTCGTTGCTATGAAGGAAGTTTTGTTTGGACACTGGTTCGTCCGCGGTCCCAAAACCTTTTCCTACATCACCTGCATCGTTGGATTCGTTCTCATGGTGGGGGCTTTCCAATTTGTCTTTGAAGACTGGAGATCGATGATTGAGGATGGCAACCGCGATATGTGTTTTTACAATGACTTTTGCTATAGAGTCAGTGGCTATGACATTCCATTTAACCTGATGATTAGTAATCTTGCGTACATGATCCACGGCTTAATTTTAGCGTGGTCTGTGTGGGTAATGGAAGCCGAGTTATTAGCCTGGTGTAAAAGACACGCGTCTAACGCGAAAACACGAACACGATTACCGGAAGGCCAAGTTGAACTCCCCAACCACTGTTTGAAATGTCCGTACATCGAGGTTCATCTGGCAAAAATGTCCGTCCCTCATTGTCGAACCAGCCCTGATGAAGCCACCTTGCTGCACGCGAAAGCCCACAAAAGAAAATTCAATTTTTCTCTCGGTTATTCCTTTGCGTGGGCACTAATATTTGAAGGTTGCTTTTCAACGCTGTATCATTTTTGCCCTACAAGGTTGACTTTTCAGTTCGATACAGCTTTTATGTTTGTCATCGCGGGTTTAATTGTCCTGTCATTGTACAATGGCCTTAGCTTTAAGGCGTGTACAGCTGATGGGGAGATGAAAATGCCTGTCGAGGCAACTAGTTATTTTCTTTATTTTATAGTTCCTTTATATGTGTTTAATTATTTAGGGTCACTCTATTACGAAGACAGTCTAAGCTCGGCCATGGAAATTTTGTTCATAATTTTTCTGGTGATATATTTACTCCTTATCTTTTTGTGGGCGGCCAGAAAGCTGTTTTGCGACGTATCGAGCTTGAGCGACTTGAGAAAGTGCGATGCTTTAACCAAGGCTGCCTTTTTCATCCTAGTCTTTGTACTAGTTGCTATCGCTCTTCCCCTAGAGTTCAAAAAAAATATCCCTGAAATCTTTTTGTTTAGCTGTATCATAACATCATTGCTTGCCATTTTTGGCCAAGTGGGGGTTAAATTCTGGAAAAGCGATAAAACCCATTGGAGCATGCAGAAAATAGCCTATCTTGTTTTCCAAGGATTGTATGTGCTAGTCACGCTAGGGGTTATGGGAACTGCAGTCTGGATTTTCAGCGCTAAGGCGACGAGTGATAAGACAGAGTCTCCTCAATTATCACGTGATCTGAACCACGACTGCGTGGTTGTGGGGTTTTTTGACTATCACGATTTGTGGCACATTCTCTCCTCGTTTGCTCTTCTCATGGGAGCTTATTTGGTGTTGTACATTAGTGAATAACGCCTCTATAAGAGCAGGCCCATGGCAAGCACAAGAGATAAATATTTGGCCCTCGCAATCAAGTGCATGGAACGCGAATTATTTTTCACCTCCTGGTAGCACGCTCAGGTTTAAACTGTGCGAAGAAACACTAGTTACTAACACAGAAATTTATCTATGAACTAGCAACCTCATAAAAAAGCTAGCATCCTGGTAGATGCAAAAGTCTTCCCGGGAGATTTATACTGTTTGCTATCCGCTCTGTTAAACTTCCGTTGAGTTCTTATCCCAAGGAGCAATTTGGCAAAACAGCGTGGTTAAAGAAAAGGAACTGGACGATTTTTAAGATGCAACGGTAAAAGCTTGGTTAAAGCAGACCAGACGAAATGAAACGAAGAAGCGTGATTTTTAGTACTCAAGAATATTTAACTAACGTTCTGTTTTCTTTTCTCATTTATACTACTGAACAAACTTACAAACCAGTAGTTGCCGTATGATTTTCGTGTGAAACAAATTCTAAAAGAATGAACATGTTTTTTCAAAACGCTTTAGCAATGAAAATGCTCATTCTGGGCAAAGAGCTTCAGATGTTATTATTATTATTATCATTATTATTGTTGTTGTGTTTTCATTTTAATCTATTTCTTTACAGTTCATAGAATTTTGATAAGTATGTATAGTGATTTTTAACAAATGTTAAGAAAAATTTATAGACAATAGAGAGCTTTAGGGCGACTACGAGCACGAGGTTTTCTTAATACTAAGTAGTGCTCGCGCGTCGAGCAACGTCATTTTGGCTGCGAAACGTGAGAGTAGTCATCACTCTGCAAGGAGTGTTAGCGAGGATGTCGTAGTGGTGGAAAAAAATTATAAAAAGTTCTAAGTTTTATCATTTTGTGCCGATCGCGAGAGGACTTAACCTCCTTCAACAAAGGCAAAAGTGCTCGATCACTTTTTGGGTGAAAGAAAAAAGTACAATGAAGCTTCCCGTGGTTTCTATTTATTGAGAATACTTTAACCCATTAAGCCCTAATATCCACATACAAATTCTCCAAACTGATCTCCGTACATTTCCCTAAAGAATTAGTTGAGAGAATTTGATAAAAGATCAAAGTAGTTTCTCTTGGGTTATCATTTAATTAATTCACATAACGTATCTCTTGACAGTGTATGGATATTGTCAGGAGAAAATTGATCTTGATCACTATTGGGACTTCAAGGGTTAAGTCAAATCTCGTGGTCGTCCTCGTCCTCGAATCTAAAGCTCTCAGTAATAATAATAATATATTCTCCATGGCAAGAATGACTACCACGAATAGGTTCTAAAAGATCTAAATAAACTTTGAAGTACCGGCTTAACAAAGCTTTGTCTTCGATCCTTAGGCTCAAAAGTAAAAGGTTAACGCGAATTGTAAGAATTTTGAGTCCACCTTTGACTTTGCGTTTATTCTTAGACGCAAAGTCAGTAAACAGCGAGCTTAAAATTGATCTTTTCCCTCTCAGGGTTTAAAAATCATCAGAAATCAGCACAATAGGCCTGGGTTCAATTTTCGGCCTGACTAACGCTCAAAAACCAGGGTCCTAAAATGACTAAGGGTGCGTTCGATTGATCAGAAATTTGTATCAAATCTCTTCGACAGCAAATTTTCGTACCGTTGGAGTGCTACATTTATCTTAATAATTTATTTCCACCAGATTAATTTATATTTATTTACCATTCTATGATAGCCTAAACGAGATTTTTCAAGTTTATTCTATCATGTATATTCTTATTCAGGAATGAGGGGTATATCGAACACACCCTAAGTAGAATACAAGCCCTGCCTTTGCTTTATAACTGTGAATGTTTAAACAATCTAGCATTTTTTTTGTCTGTCAACATGACTTTTCTGGTGTGACCCTGATGAGGCATAAAACTACAAGGGACTTGAAGGCCCCTGGTAGTGTACACACCTGGAGCCGATTCCTGTCCACACGTAGTATCTATCGGTCATGGTTCGTGGCAATCGTGGGGCGCTAGAGAGGGACACCTCCTATGGGACTATGAGACCAATTCGCACCCATCCCCATCGGGAAGGACTGTGCCCAGTGAAGCTGATTAAGTAACGAGTTTTGCTTTTAAGGATTCACGGTTCCAATAACGTTATAAGAAAGGTTTCGAGAGAACTCTCTAAATATGAACGTACTATAAGTTCTAAGCCTCCCACACGAACGTTCATTTGGATTGTCACGTAATTCTCTCTAGTGGGCAGGAACGCATGACGAACTTCTAAGAACATCTTCCCAGGAGGTTAGAACGTTCTAGGTAACCTGTGTATGTAGTCAGGGGCACCCAACGAGAATATAGTCCAAAACCACTTAAACATTTTATTTTTAAACGTATTTTAGTATTTAATTAAACGCTAGATATAGGCATATTTTTATCCCCTGAATTTTTTTATCTGTTCGGATTTCCAAGCTAAAAGTCTAGTGATTCGAAAATTATAGGGATCAAAACTTACCTTTTCGAAAATTTCAGCCAGAAAAAAGGCTCCCGAAAAATCAAGGTGACCTTTTTAGGGTAAAAATCCGTTAAAAATGGGCAATTATACCATTTCTTAGATGTTGGAAAATCCTAGGAGAGGCAGGCAAGCAAGGAATTTTACAAGAAATGTTCCGAACTCTGGATCTTAAATTGTCTTCCGAAAAGATATTTTCCGAAAATTGATGTTGGGTGCCCTTGATGTAGTAGCCTGCTGCACAACTGGCGGTTTTTACTTTTCCCTGGGCAGTAAGCGTTTCAGGGCCAGTTCTTTGGAATAGCCTTACTATTAAGCTGCGGCAAACGAACACTCAAAAAACGAAAATGTTGGACTTGACTTTTCCCGTCTCCGCTTATGTACACTTTCTATTTTTCTTCTACACCATGAAGCGGGTTTAAAAACGCTTAATTTTACCCTGGTACCAAGCAAATTTCAATATAAAAAATGTATTTCTTCTCAGAGCATGCACCTTTTAATAGATTTTACTAGCTACAGTGGTCAGTTCAATAAAACTTTTACAATTGGTGTAATATACTGGTAGTAATCATTGATTATGGATCTGCATAAAAACGAGACTAAAGAAAACGAAAACGAGTCCAAAGCAGTCCAGTTTCCTGCGGCGGATCATCCTCGGAGACCCAGGGGCAACCCTAGTCGGGACGATAGAATGTTCGTGGCGAACGTTTAGTCTCGATTTTACAATAAACTTTCACCACGAACATTCTATCGTCCCGACTATCTGCCGCTGGGTCTCCGAGGATGGCGGCGGAGATGCCCCTGTTAAAAATTAATAGCGGTGTTTAATCGGAAGTCGTCCGTGATAGCTCGAAAATTTCTGCCTTTGTACCACACGAACACCAGATTAGGATGCGTTCTGACGAACGCGACAAGGGAAGAGTAGCCATTGTTTTAGAGTTTAAGAGCAACAGAATTTGTACCACTACTGGTGCAATGCGGAATATAAACATGGAACAGAAATAAAATGTGTTGTAATTTCAGAAAACGTATAGAATAGTGCGACAAAACTGAGTCAAGATGTTTTAATTTAGGATTTTATTTACCTAAACCACTTAAAAACTACAATTACGTTTACTCTAATATAGAATTCCAAATATTATAACTTATGCACATCGACACAAATATTTTTAAATTACTTGGCAATGCTAGGTCTGACTAATAAAATCAATTGAAATAATAAAGCAGGCAACTCTCGTCTTGCGCCCACCCAGGTACTACAGGGTGTTTCAAAAGTTCGTTCCGATTGTAAATTGTATTTTTCGCAAAGCATTTGATGCTTCTTTAGGCAAATGTAAACTGATGACGGTACGAAATTTTTCTAGATAAACGTTCAAAGCAATTTCATGCTAAAATTTGAAGAAAAAAATATTTATTTTTTATTTTTGCCCTAAATGTGCACGTACGCGAGTTTTTTTCCCGCCATATTTTTCCTGCCCATTTTGTAGGTTTTCTATTTTCGTATGTTTGCCGTTTTCTTTTATTTTCTCTTAACTCTTTCGCGAAAATGAAGGCGTACACTGTTTGTGCTACAGCTCAGGCGTCTATTTTACGGTATTCTGGCCACTTAGTCAAAGAAATTTCCAATGAATTGTTGAAGACGTCTGAACGATGAGTGAACAGCTGGTCAAAAGTATAAAGAGGTTAGAAGACAAACTAAGGAAACTCCAAGGAGTAGATGGCCGTTTTTTTTTACAAACTGTGAGAAATGTTATCGAAAAAGCTGTAAGTATATGCGTAATAATTCAACAAGACTCCCAGGTGAGAAAAACTTCAACTTAACAATATCAAAGTTTTGAGCACAACGGTGGGGAGATATTTGACCAACAAACGTTGGAAAGCCTTGAAGAGAAAAAAGGCGGTGCAAACTTCATGCAGGCATGGCACCAGAAGAATTTGTAAACTTTATACCATAGGACGACAATAGCACGACGGGGCGGCCAACTCACGTGATCTGAACACTCTATAGACCATCTGGATTATCGTTGATGGGACAACATACAAAGATCCAGCCCCCAAAACACTGGACGAGCTAAGACAGTGATAACGCTTCATCTGGAAAAATGTGAATATAGACACGCTTTGGGAGCTCGCACATTCTATACCTCACCGCTTAGAAAAAGTAAGAAAACATAAAGGACGATATTCTAGTTGCTAATATCTCAGTTAGTCAATGTTAAATGAATAATGAATAACATGCTTAGTTTTACAAAAAGTTATTTTTTAAAAATCAGTGAAATTTAAGCGAAGAAAAAATCGGAACGAACTTTTGAAACACCCTGTACACCGGATACATCCCCATAATACTGGACAGCAGCAAAAGCTAGCAAAAATCCCTGGCATAAAAAGAAAAACACCTGGAAAAAACTACTAGTTAATTCTTATAAGAATACAGGCAAATCTCGTCTTACGCACACCTTGTTATTACACCGGATACATTCCGTGTGATTACACAGGCTGATTACGGCGGATTCATATCCCGACACAACGGGACAGGAGCTAATAAACATTCACTGGCAAAAACGCACTGATTCTTGTAAAAAGGATACAGGCAACTTTCGCCTTGCGTACACCGCCGTGTGCCGGATTACACCGGGTGATTACGGCGGGTTCATATCCCGAAAAAATGGGACAGCAGCTAAAATTACATGGCAATAACGTACTGATTCCTGTAATAAGAATACAGGCAACTTTCGCCTTGCGCATACCTTGTTATAATCCTGGAAACATCCCTATAATACGGGAGCCGGCATCAGCTAAAATCCCTGGCAAGAATATTAGCGTTTTAACTGTATGCATATGTAGTGGCCCGGAGCGATATGGACTCCTGACCCTGATTCACGAACGTACCCTATCAAGAGCAGACTGTGCTCATTTTTCGGTACTTCGCACAATTGATCCCCACCATCCACGAGCCTTCAACAGGCTAAGAAGAAATGGCCGACTTAGAGGCTCGACTGCTTATTCAACGAGCCCTTTCGCCAAGGCGATTTTCATTGAATCTACTGTTTACATCATGTACATTGTGATCAATTATGATAGCCTTATTTGGCATCAATGAACACTGAAAAGTTTGAGGCTGGCTCACGATTCTCAGTGACTCGTTGATGTCAAGTAACTAATTAAAAAAGCACCTTTCACAATATTAAGTGCTTCAAGCATGACTGAATTTGTTAGAAAGCTACAGCTGAGCTGAAGCTATGATGCCATTGAATCAATTCAGAACAAATTTTACAGGAGTGTATAGCTGTGTATAGCCCCCTTATGGTCTCCTGTAGACCAAGGACATTTAATCTCCTACGAAACTGAAGTAGTAGTTGAAGTTTGTTTCCGTTGTTGAATGTTTCGAAGTATTTTTCATACGTGTATAATTATACAAGCCTGAAACAATCTATTCAAGAGTGCACTTGATACTGTGAAAGGACTAAAAGAATCGCCTGGTGAATTTGGACAGTCTGAATGGGGTTTTAAATAGACACACATCCAAACAGGCCTATAGGGAGAGGGTGTGGGGGTGCGTAAAACTCAAAATCCCTTGGCCGCAGCCGCGACGGCCCGGGCCGGAGTCACGCCTTTTATAGGGCTTCCATGCAACAAAGCCCAAAAATATCCCTGGACCTGTATGCCGTATTTCTTTGCAGAAGGCATTAAATCAAGATATAACACGAAAAATAAGAACATCAGAAATTGAATGTTTATGTTTCATTCAGTGTTCACCATACCATCTGAATCTTCAGATTGTATTGAATACCTAGAAACCTCTACTTAAATCAAGTCACCCCAAAAAAGATTCGTGCCAAATTTTACTAAAAATTACCATATCATTAAGAAAACCCCATTCAGACCCTCGCTAAAAAAGCAATCATGCTATCTAAATCGGCCTAATCAAATAAAACTCCGGTACCAACTGCCATGAGGCAGATATTGCGCTTCAACCGAGCGACTTCTTCAGTAGGAAAATGGGACTCGTCCCAACTTCCAACGACATCAAACGAGTCTGTCTCCACTCCAAGAGCTTTGAACGCATTTCTAGCAAGTTCAATGTACTGATCAAATGTTGTTTTATCCATTTTTGAAGTAACGGTATGACAAATTGAATTTCGGAGGAGTCGCAACTGATCAATCGCAATGGCGAACGTTTCCTCGTCGTTTCCAACTGGACTTAACACAAAGGTGTGGAAACTTCCTTTGTCCATAAACCCACGGGGCTTCACGTACACCTCACTGAGTGTTTTAAGGTTACCTTTGCTGTCCGGTGAAGAGAAGACTTTTGCGTAGATTGTGGCTTGAAACAGTGCGGTACAATCCCACTCCTCATACGACTCATTTGTGGGAACTTTGGTGTTGCTTCCCTCCATTGCCAGAAACAAGTTTCGCACAACTTCGGAGTCATCCCAGATCGGTCCCGGTCCGAAATTGTCCCACATGTGTTTGAAAGTATGGCGTAGAGCTTTAGGGAATTCATCAACGACAAGGGTTGAAAACTTGTAGTAGTTCAACTGCTCGTCTGTAATCGACTTGACAACCATGTTTTGTGCTAATGGCGGTTGCACCCTTCCCCTACTTTGGGGGAAGGGTCCCTGTTGACCCGCTGCTAGGAACTTAGGATCTAAGGGTACAATAAAACAGGCCAGGCATCAGTTGCATAATTGTAAAATTAATTTGAATGTAGTTTACCACTTACTATCAGGGGCACCCAACGAGTTTTTTTCTAGATCTGTAAAATAACTGTTAGAAGGAGCAAATATTAATTAGAGAGTCAGTTCTAAAGCTAGAGATCTAGAGAAGGGCTATAAAATTCTGGATAACTGTTCCATTCGTCTAACAGCACAGTTTCGAAGAAGGCCTGCGAAATCCACCCAAAACTAATTGACAACTAGCCTGCGTGCAGACGATAACTAAACTCTGATTAGTACCGTCTGCGAAGCAGCGCAGAGATCCTTGTTCTGGACCGCCAACGGACTCAACGAATTACCGGAAGTGCGTTTCGAATTCCCCTTCAACCTGATTGGCGATCACGACAAACAAAACAAAGGCCTTTTTTAACTGGCCAATCGTGGCGCGTACTCAAATCTGGGTACACAGCTGGAAGTCCAGAACAAGGATTTCGGCGCTGTTTCGCAGACGGAGTTAACCAGAGTTTAATTTCGTCTGCGCGCAGGCTAATTGACAACCAACAAATTAAAGTTCCCAAGACATCCGAACAGATAAATAGCTCTTAGGGCAGCTCCAAATTAACCAAACACGCAAGAATCATCTCACGTATTTGGATGCCGCTGTTCCTATACCAGGGGCGGATCCAGGATTTTTTTTAGGAGGGGTTGCACTCGTCTCTTGCTCTACTTCAACACCAATAAACCACATAGTTTTTTTTTTGGCAGAATACCAGCTGTATTAGAAAACCGCAGGTCATCTCAAGAGGGGGGGGTGCTCACCCCCTGCACCTTCCCCCTAGATCCGCCCCTGTATACAACTATATTTGTGTGTGATTCTCATTACGTTGTAACGGATTCAAAAGAGTGCTCGCTTAGCTAGTCCGCCGAAGAGGGTGTCTTTGAATCCTGATGGGCCCTCGATCTTTAGACTCAAAACTTGAAACAAGCAGTAGATCAACCCGTGCAAGAACAACTGCATGCACCCCGTTCAATATATAACAATAATAAAAATAAAATCCATAAAACTTACTAGTATCTTGAACTTACAATAAGAAATTAAGAGGCTCAGAATCAGCTTCAATCTGTGTGTAATGTGCACACCAATGCTAGAAGAGTAAAATAATTTCATCAAAAATAAGTCAATCCTTTATGTAGTACGTTATGTGGTCACTGCATATAAGCGAAACTGGGAAAAACCCCAGTTAACTTAGAAGAATAGTGGTCGTCACGGGAAAAACCCTAATCACCATGCATCCCTGACGAGAATTATGATTGGTTGTATAAAAAGGGTAAAATTTCTAGAATTTCTAGAACACTGTTAATTAACTTTGAACTGAACAGAAACAAGGAGAGAAAAGCTGATGGTGTTGACAACAGGAATCAAGAGGATTGTTTGCTAGTGATCACAGTTTGAAGAACACAGTACAAGAAAAAATTCGTATTGAGTGGATAGATTAGGAGGGGTAACCCCCGCGAACGTTTAGTAGCCTGAGTATCAGGCTTACTCAGGCTATCGAACAATCACAGGGAAGCATCAGCCAAGGGTTGAAATAGGGACTCAGGATGGCTTTTGCACAGCTTGGACTTTAGAACCAGTGTTTAAAAGGTCTCGCATTTATTTGTTTTAACATATGTCAAGTAAAATTACTTGAGACTAGTAAATTTTAAATCGAAAAAAAAAATAACAGCATGAGTGTAAAAGTACTATTTGCAGCACATGCGGCCCAGACGTAGTATGTGTCATTGAATGAATATATTAATATTCACATGGACAAATTAATGCGATGAGTCGTCGAAACTCCCATGGACTAAAATAGTCCAAAAGTCAAAATATAACAAAACAATGCTAAGATACCTTCAACTGAACGTATCCTTGTCTTTTCTGGCCGGTTTCAGTGGCATTTTGTTGAGTTTTGCAATTGTAGGTACTATCCACTAAAGAAGAATTAAAGGCTGGCTACAAAACAAACATACCATCTCCACGCGCCTTCACACGAAGCGCTATAAATTCGAGAATAATCGACGAATCCGCTCCAAATAACCATCGGCTAATCTGCAGGTAACGTGTGCTCCTGCTTCTGGCTCGCTTGCTCCACAAAACCCATCGCAACTGCACAATAATTGCTCGCTCATCAACAACCACTGTTGACCTTTACGCTTCGATATGACCGCAAACGACGACGTGAATATTCAAGCTTAGCGACCGCGTTCGCGCAACAATGCAGCACTTGCTATAGGAGGGATGGTACTATTGCTTCTAGGTCATTCGACACTGACCGAAGGTTCGCTGCGTTAGTTTTGACCTGGTTGTCAGTAGCATAGTTGCATGACAAATTACTCAAATTATGTTGGAAGGTTGTAAATAATAATACAAAACTGAAATGAACTTGATTTGAACTGCAGAATTACAAATTTTTGAATGAAGAATATAGTAAGAACAATTAGAGAAAGGATCAGCAATTTATAAATTGCAGTTGCAAATGAACCCCGAGATAATTTCGGGGCTTCCAAGGGATTCTATTCGAACCCACTGCCTCATGCTCTAGCGCTTCACTGATCTACATCAGGCTTCCTCAGGCTGAGCTATAGACTAGCTATAAAAATAAATTAAGAGCAGGCCAAGATCAGCAGGTGTAGAAAACGTATAGGTCTTATGATCGTCTATTTCTGAACAAAACTCTCCCAGAATCGAAAGAATAGCCGGTGAACGCTATTTAGAGACAACCGATAATTCCCAAAACCTAAACTAACTCCATCTAAAGACAACAGACATGGGACCTCGATCTTAACACAGCCTGTTAACAGACCTTGTAACAAACAGTTGATTTTGATTTTGTACCCGTACAAAGACGTATTAACAGCTTATTGACTGCATGCCTATATCTTTCACTATAACGATAAAAATAGAATGGAAATAAGCGAACTTACACAGAAGTTAAGAAGCTCAAGTACCTTCAATCTCTGTTCACTGTGCACACAACCACCAGCGCAAACTAATTTCATCGAAAACAAGTCAATCTTTTGTGTACCACGGGTCGTGCAGTGAAAGTGAAATCGGGAAAACCCCCCACTTAATTTAAAAGCTGAATAGCAGCCGGCAAGGGAAAAAACCCTAATCAGTATGCAACTGAGGCGAGAATTGTAATTGGTCGTTTAAAAAGGGTTAAACCCCTTATTGACTTTCAGAATTTCTAGAACACTGGTAATTAAACGGGAGGACTAGACCGAAAAGAGAAAGGCTAATGGTGTTGACAACAAGCAGGAATGGGAATAATCAAGAGGCAAGATTGATTGTTTAACTCAGTTTTGTAAGTTGTTGAATACTAGTCGGTCCCCTGTTTGAAGAAAAAGCACAGGGAAAAATTTCTAGCAGTTGAGTGACCCCTGTTGAAGTTATTAGAAACTCTTGGTTGTGACTGGTTAAGAAAAAGCTGGAAAACACCCAATTCTGAACATTCAAGTGCCACCGCACCAAATGTACTGTAGGACGTAGCCTGCGTAGCATGCGCTTGAAAGTAATGAGTACAAGAGAGATCGGGTCGCGCGTGGGAGACCCAGCTCTTTCTTGCGCCCATTACTTCCCAGCGCATGCATGGGATAGCAGGAATTGTATCTTATATCGTTTAAAATTAATATCGTTTTTCCAGTTCGCCTCAACCAAAACAAACTTGACTCATTACTCGGCCAGACGTTCCTTTGAAGGACAAAAGAGAGATAATTCCAGTTGTCGGAGTAAAAGAGATGCGGTGCAGCGTTTTTATCTCATAAATTCACCGCTCTGGAACCGAAAATTTTCTTCATCAATATCGGAGACAGACAGTTATTCTTGAAGCCACCATTTAGCATAGGTACCTTGGCGGATTAGCCGTATCGATCCGCTTCCGAGTCAACTCTAGCGACAGCTATTATGATTGCAAACGTAAAAGAATAACTAAATGCCAACTGTCAGATCACTAAAGACGAATGTCAGGTTGAACGCTGCGACATTCATCAAGGTGTTTAAATCATTTGTCTCTGTCCCATTATTTTATTTTTTTTAAAAAATTACTTTACATTTACTGGTTATCTAGTAAGAAACTGTTAGTTGGGTGTTAATATCCTGCGAGGAGCAGACGCCTTTTACGGCTCTTGTTTCACCCGCCGAGAGTGCGGGTGAAACAAGAGCTGAAAAAAGCGTCCGCTTCCCACAGGTTATTGGGTGCCCCTTACTGGTTCGGCCTCTTAGTTGGGAGGTATTCAATTTATATTCCTCCTCTGGGTTTAGCGCCATATTATCAAGTCAATAGAAACGACAGAACATCACAATATTGACATGATTTCAAGGAAGGACCATTAAAAAACGTACGGGGCACCGGGGGTGAAATCCAAAATTATTTATGTAAGGGAAGTGAAATGAAAAATAAAAATATTGCGCATACCGAGTCAGTGGCCTATATATTGGTCATTCACCACATTTTGTCGAAAAAAGAATTTAGGCGAGAGAAATCAGCGAAAAAACTAATGCGACTATACATTATCTAATGGTCCGTCCTTTGTTAATATAGGTCAATTGCATGATGAGGTCATTTTACTACAACTAAAGAGAATCCTTTCAGCTGATCCTTTGGTAGATTCTTTCTTGCGCGTAAAAGAGCTTTTGTTTTCTAAAACCTAGATCAGCGGGATATTGATAAATTTCTAAAATAAGAAAACAAAAACGAAAAGAGTTATTGTAGTAGTAGTCAAATGTCATCATTATGAAAGTTGCCTATTAATGCCTTGTGGAGCAAGATATGGGTGCCGCACTTCTGGAATTTAAAGCAGGGGTATACTTTAATTTCCTAAAGTGCACCCGGGAGGCCTAATTAAATAAAACAAATCTCATGATCTGTCTTTCTTGCTTTAACCTGGCAACCTCTTCAGTGGGAAAGTGAGACTCTGGTAAACTTTTCGCGGCATTAATCGAGTCTGTCACAACTCCAAGAGCTTTGAAGGTGTCTTCAGCCAGTTTAGCGTACCTCTCGAAGGTTGTCTTGTCCATCGTTGAGTTGTTCGAATGACAGAAAGAGTTTCGCAAGAGTCGCAGCTGATCAATGGCGAGAGCAAACGATTCGGCTTTGTTTCCAACCGGACTACACACAGAGGCGTGGAAGCTTCCGTGAGGCATGAACCCACGGGGCTTAACGTACAACTCACCAAGGGTTTTGAGGTTACCCTTGCTGTCGGGTAAAGCGAACGTTTGCGCGTGCATAGTGGCTTGAAACAGAGCGGTGCAGTCCCACTTCTCATACGACTCGTTTGTGGGAACTTTGGTTCTGCCTCCCTCTTTCGCCAGAAACAAGTTTCTCACACCTATGGAGTCATCCCAGGTAGCTCCTGGTCCGAATTTAAGGTCCCACATGTGTTTGAATGTTTGGCGTAGGGCTTTAGGGAATTCATCGACTACAATGGTTGAAAACTTGAAGAAGTTCAACTGCTCATCTGTAAACGACTTAACAACCATCTCTGATGCTGATAGCGTTTCCCTCCCCTCACGAGGGGAAGGATGCCAGCTGCTATCGAGTTCGGTTGATCTACCCGCTAAAATAAAAAGAGAATCTGTGTTTACATATTTACCTCATTCTCTGATCAAGTATCTTAAACTGAATAATGTTTCAAACATTAAAAAATCATACTTAGCAATATTAGCAATCTCAGCAATTCCCGGATTTCGGAACCAGATTCCCTTAGCTTCAGTATGCACGGGGCGATTGAAAGATTGACGCTTGCTTAATTAGTAGTAAACTGTGGCTAAATTCAAATTCACATCATTTCAAAATTCCAGCGGTACGTACTATTTGTACGTATTGATGTCTTAATCATAGGATAAATTCAGTCCAATTTCCCCAAAGAAACAATTCATAAGAAATACTGGGTGCGCTAACCCATTCGCGGCCTAACCGCTCAGGAGTGTATCTAGAACGGATCGGTGGATTAAATAAAAATAAAAAAAGTCTAATGATCGATAATGCCGTAGATCTTAAGAGGTCTTAAGGTGGCTCGATATAGTTTTTCAAGGTCAATACCTCCCAAGTTTGATCGTAAACTACGTCGCTATAAACAAAGATTTGGAAAAATTGACACCACAGTTGTATTAGATAAAGGTGAAAAATTGTTATGATCAGGGTTGCAATGACATCGGAGTTGTCACAGCAACGAAATGACGCCATTACCTATTTTACTTACCGCAGTATTTCTCGGCACTGGGAACTGTTCTTCCAAAATCGTTTACGGGAGCTTTTACCTACGATAGCTGCCTCGTTGTTCGTGAAGTTTAAGCGAAATCTGTAAGAGCGTTATCAAGATATTTTGGGATGAAGTTTTTATGGTTAGAAATACGGTAAAAAATTGACAATCTCGATATTCGAATGTTATCTGTACTAAACGAAGCGCTTTTGACGTGCAATTTCACCTCGTGGTAGTTTCAATCTTTTTAAAAACGTGAGTGAAAGATCATAGAGATACCTCCAGCCGATTGCTAGAAAGGAGGATTTGATTAGCATGTATCAAGGCGCTCTTGTTAGCGGTAATGTAAACATTTCGGTCTACTTTAACAAATTAGCGAATAATTTTTAAACCGCTCGATAAATTTTCTAGAAAATTTAAGAGTGTTGAGATCAACCGTCCTTTTATATGACCTCTTAGTTTCAAGATTATTGATGTATTGTAAGGCAGTAAAATAAGGGCTTGAATTCGCTAACATTTTGTCAGAAATGTTGTGTTTACAAGTGAGAGCGTCTCATTATTCAGGGGTATTGTCTCCAAGTTTCATATTTTCGTGCATAACAATAGCTAACAGTTTTGCATATGTCAAATGCATTGTTAGTTACTACTGTTCACGTGAAAATGAAACTTTGAGACAATACCCTGAATAATAAGAGGCTCTCACTTGTAAAGACAAAATTTCTGACAAAATATTAGCGAATTGTAGCCCTTATTTTACTACTTTACAATATATCAATAATCTTGAAACTAAGAGGTCATATAAAAGGACGGTCGATCTCAACACTCTTAAATGTTTTAGAAAATTTATCGAGCGGTTTAAAAATTATTCTCTAATTTGTTAAAATAGACCGAAATGTTTACATTACCGCTAACAAGAGCGCTCCGATACATACTGATCAAATCCTTCTTTCTAGCAATCGGCTGGAGATATCTCCATGATCTTTCACCCACGTTTTTAAAAAGATTGAGACTACTATGAGGTGAAATTGCATGTCAAAAGCGCTTCGTTTTCTACAGATAACAGTGGAATATCAAGATTGTCAATTTTTTACCGTATTTCTAACCATAAAAACTTCATCCCAAAATATCTCGATAATGCTCTTACAGATTTCGCTTAAACTTCACGAACATCGAGGCGGCTGTTGTAGGAAAAAGCTCCAGTAAACGATTTTAGAAGAACAGTTCCCAGTGCCGAGAAATACTGCTGCAAGTAAAATAGGTAATGGCGTCATTTTGTTGCTATGACAACTCTGATGTCATTGCAACCCTGATCATAACAAATTTTCACCTTTATCTAATACAACTGTGGTGTTAATTTTTCCAAATCTTTGTTTATGGCGACGAAGTTTACGCTCAAACGTGGGAGGTATTGACCCTGAAAAACTGTATCGAGCCACCTTAAGACTGACTCAGTATTCCTGAAATCCAACACTCACTGAAACGAAAGTACACTGTACAGTACTCAGGCGCAACAATTAGAAACAACGTCAATTTTCGTTTAATCCTCGCGGTTGTTTCAAACTCAACACTGATCTGACTATGCAAGAAGACAGCAGATTCAGCTAGATTTATCAACCTCGTGCAAAAACAACTGTGTCCATAATATCTGATAATGTATATCATTGAACGCAGTGATAAAAATATGGTTATAGAATGAATAAAACTTAGTACCTGGAACTTGCAAAGACTATCAGGCTAACGCATCCTGTTAAATTCAATCGCTCTTCAATGTACACGCCATGGCCAGCAAAGTAAAATAATTTCATCGAGAGCAAGTCAATCTTTTGTGTATCGCGGGTCGTGCATGAAAGTGAAACCGGGTAAACCCCCCACTTCACAAGAAGAATAGCAGCGGACGCGGACACGGGTAAAACCCCTAATCAATATACAACTGAGACGAGAATTTCGGATTGGTCGTTTAAAACCGGGTTTAGCCTTAGAAGCACGCTGTGAATTTGCTGACGTGATTGTTAACATTTTTGTTTGTTTGTTGAAATTGAAGCCCGCGGGGGCTGGGGAAGGGAGGCGGGGCGGTGAGGGGCACGTCAAGGGAAGATTGAGAAGATAGGAGACGTGCTGCCGAGGCCTTCAAGCCCTGCCCTGACCCTGTTAACACAAAAATCGTTCTTATTGCTATTTCATGCACAAACACATTTTATGTATTTGTCATTAAAGTTTTTCATACCATGCTATTTTCAAATTTTACCGTCAAAGAATTAGCTCTTTATGGAAAAAAAAATGGTGCTACCACAAATGTGGACCACTCATCCCAGCCTTCACAGTAAGAGGTATTGGGGAGGACCGTGCCCAGTAAAGCGCCATGGCAAGCTACTTCTTTGACTAGAACCCTTTTCGTTTTTTCTTTCACTTTCAAATTTGGTACTGTCTCAGGGAGGTTTAAATAACAAAAGGTCTAGTTTGAACAAGAGAACAAAACCCGTGAAGGATTCTGGTCGTAGTACTAAATGACGTCATCATGCAAATGATTTTTTGGGATAAAGGCCAGTCTGCCGAGCAGGAGGCCACTGGTTTAAGCCCCGGCTGGATCAACACTTAAAGACTTTGAATAACAGTGGAGTAAGTGCTGCCTTTTTAATGGCATCTGCAAAAGGTTAGACTTTCTGTCTTCGCGCATGAGGACGATAAAACGTAGGCCTCGTCTCACAACCCTTGCACATACCAGTATATTAAATTCTGTGGGACGTTAAAGATCCCACACACTGAAAGAGTAGGGAACCTAGTCCCGGTATAGTTCTCGATCTCAAATTCACACTACCCGCACATGGGAGGCATGATTATTCATTACTTCATTATTTATAAACTGCACCATAAAGGAGTCTGGCTAAAAGTCCCCCAAGCCAGTGTTCAGAAATCATCCCTGAAAAGCTCTGAGTCAGTGGATGATAATAAAATTGC